TTGCATAGACCAAAGAACATGACGTTTGGTTCAAACAGTCCATACTCAGTAGTGAAGGCAGCTTTCCACTGATCGTCAGGATGAATCCAAATGTTGTTATAACCAGAACAGATGTCCATCTTTGTGAAGTATTTTGCACCATGCAACTGGGAGACTAATGAGAGTGGTAATGGGAGAGGATATGCATTCTTGACCATCCAATCACTGATATACCGGTAATCCTGGCAAGGGTGTAGGTCTCTGCTTTTCTTTCCTATGAAGAAGAAACCGCTTGCCTGTGGCAACTTTGACTTGGAAATGAAACCTTTCTTTACATTTTTGTCAATGAATGCTTTGATGGCAGTGCGTTCTGCTTCTGATAAAGGATATACCTTTGACATCTTGGGAATAAAACTGGGTTTGGTTTCAATGTGATGGTCAATACTGGGTCATTCAGGTGGTAGTTGGTTAAGGCCATCTTTAGCAAAGATGTCAGCGAAATCATGAAGATAGGAAGGGACCAGTTCTTCAAATGTCTTCTTCTTCTGTTCAAGTCCAGCTGCTAACATGAACTGTTGAGCTTTGTTACTGGTTTTGACATATTCTGTAGGCCATGATAAGGGTGTAACCATAGGTTTCTGTTCTGTGGCACTAGTACCATCTTTGGTCAATGGGGTATCCATTGAAATATTGGTGATGACCCGAAGCTTGGTAGCATCAATGGGATATTCAACCAAAAACTCGTTGTCAAGGTGATACTCAGCAAGTTTGCGTATGGGTGGTGCATAGTCTGAAGTCCATATGTCTTCTTCGGTGTCAAAGGAATTGTCATCATCATCAGGAATAGGGTCAAGGTTGGGCAGGACTGGAGGTGCTTCTTCATCAGGGATTTCTTTGATGGTGGCTCATGGTAATGACTCCCTGGGTGATACTACAACTGGAATCGGTTTCACAGGAGGCACCTTCGGCAACACTACAACTGGAGTTGGTTCTGATTTACAACTAGTTCATTGGAAGAGAAGTGGGAGGCTGTTCTTTCATCATTCATTGTCAATGTCTTCTTTGATCAAATCACTCTTCTTGGTCTGAGAGAGTTCTAGTGTCTCCACTTTCCATCTGATTACTGGATCCATGGCCTGTAGCCAGGGGATTCCAAGCAAGATCTGATCACGACGACCAAGTCACATGATATTGAACTTTCCGATCATCGATCATTCATTGATTTTCACTATAAGAACACAATATCAAGTGATAGCACCACCTTTTGCATAACTCCCATCTGCGGTGGTAACTCGGAATGGTTTGGTTAATTTGTGTGTCCTGATGTTGTGGAGTTTAACAAAGTCTTCAGAAATGAATGTTCTGGCGGCGCCGGAGTCAACAATGGCAGTTGTTTTGACGGTTTTCAGACGGGTTTTCGAGATAAGGGAAATGGGAATGTGAAGTTCCTTTCTGATTCCAATACTTTGTACGAGTCTGATAGGTACATCGGAAGATACTGACGTTGATCCAGTCTTCCACATCAAAAATCCTCAGCAAGGCGACGGATTGTTGTATCTTCATCTTCTTTGTTGCTTTCCTCTATTTCTTCACGATGAACTGGGGTTTTCCCATTCTTCTTCTATGGACAGGCCCTGGTCATGTGTCCCTTCTGGTGACACATGAAGCATAACCCTTTCTTCATATGGTTGTTCCTTTCTGCTTTGGAAAGACGGTCTACCTCCATGGCATTAGGATCATGCTGATCAATGGACAGTCTAGGCACATATCGCTGTCCAGTTGGTTTGGTGGTGCAATTGTTCTGTCGGAACATGGCACCTTTCTGCCAATTGCTATCAAGCCTGATGGCTGCAGCGACATATTTGTTGAAATCTGTGGGAATGGTTTCCATTTGGAAAATGGAATTGACAATCCCTTTCTTAAGTCCATTGTTGAAAAACATGATCAAGATGGCATCTTGCTTCATGGAGGCTTGTGTGGCAAGGGTCTTGAAGCTGGCGACGTAGGAGGTGAGGTTGCTCATTTGTTTCAAAGTGTGGAGCTTGTTCATAGCTGTGCTGATAGCATCAGCTGGTACAAAGGCTTCTTTGAATTTGGTTTCAAAATTCATGAAGGTTCTGTAGGATTTGGAGATGGAATTATCAACTTCGGTGTAGAAGGTGAGGGCCCATCCCATAGTGCTATCTTTGGTCATGTACACAAGGGCGGTGATGACTTTCTTTTCATCAGTACTATAGATTGTAGCATTAAGGGCAAAGTACACCTTTATTGAATACAACCATCATAAAGCTTTCTGGGGGCTTCCATCATATGACGTCAGAGCTCCTGCTTTAAGTTCTGAGGTAGTGGGTGGTGCTGACATCCTGATCGTCTGGTCTAGTGATGTTTCTGGGTATGGGGAATGTTACATCTCTCTCCATCTATTTCTGGTTTCTGTGTTTCTGGGTTTCTGGGACCTCCCTGATGGAGAGGGTTGGGGTAGCACTTTAATCTTTTGTTATGAACTAGGATGGTCGCAACATCAACAGCTCGATAAGAGTGTCAGTTGAAGTTGAATAAAAGACCTTACAAATGTAAGGGTCATATAGTGGCTCAAAAAACTGTCCGCATGTTTTGACATTTTTCACTATCTATGATATTGTGTGAGAACTCACAAATGCCTCAAGGACATGCTTATACCACATTGTAGTATGGCTTCAGGGCTTTCATTTGAGCCCTACACCGTGGGAATCGGTGGAGATATGGTGGAGATACAAGGCTCACAAAATGGTGACTCATGCGGACAGTTTTTTGAGCACATATTAAAACTATATAAATCATCATTTATGACACCATAACAATCATGCCACCATTAAATAAATTATAAAGTGGTGTCATTATGTCATTTTAAAACCATATCTAACTATACAAACCAAAAATTTCCATATGTCATGGTTATATTCACCATGAAAGCCACCCCCCTGCTCAAAGGGATAATATCCTCTCTCTTTCCTATTCCGGCCTCTCTGCTTGTCAAATTTCCTCTAGAACTGGAGTATCCAAGTCCACTGTGGCCAAGTTCATCAAAGAAAGTCACACAGACAAGGAAAACTTCTGTGAAGGGCGTCCATCCAAGCTCACCTCTACTGATAGGAGGGCTATTATTCAACATATCACTACAGGAAAGGCTGATAATGCTGTCCAGGTCACCTATTACATCAATTCCACCATCACATTCCCTGTCTCTTCACACACACTGTGAGAAACATTCTCAAGACAGCTCATCTCAGGTCAGTAACAAGGAAGAAAAGGCTCTCCTCTCTATCACACATATGCAGAGAGGACTAGCACCCTTCTTTTTTCACATATATACCTTGCCATCTGACCCAATCCTATTTATTGTGGTCTTATATGATCATATAACATGCTTCCAGTCCATGTAATCCAATTCTGATGGGCTAAGGCAAAGGTTAGTCATCTCTGCATATGTGTGATAGAGAGGAGAGCCTTTTCTTCCTTGTTACTGACCTGAGATGAGCTGTCTTGAGAATGTTTCTCACAGTGTGTGTGAAGAGACAGGGAATGTGATGGTGGAATTGATGTAATAGGTGACCTGGACAGCATTATCAGCCTTTCCTGTAGTGATATGTTGAATAATAGCCCTCCTATCAGTAGAGGTGAGCTTGGATGGACGCCCTTCACAGAAGTTTTCCTTGTCTGTGTGACTTTCTTTGATGAACTTGGCCACAGTGGACTTGGATACTCCAGTTCTAGAGGAAATTTGACAAGCAGAGAGGCCGGAATAGGAAAGAGAGAGGATATTATCCCTTTGAGCAGGGGGGTGGCTTTCATGGTGAATATAACCATGACATATGGAAATTTTTGGTTTGTATAGTTAGATATGGTTTTAAAATGACATAATGACACCACTTTATAATTTATTTAATGGTGGCATGATTGTTATGGTGTCATAAATGATGATTTATATAGTTTTAATATGTGCTCAAAAAACTGTCCGCATGAGTCACCATTTTGTGAGCCTTGTATCTCCACCATATTTCCACCGATTCCCACGGTGTAGGGCTCAAATGAAAGCCCTGAAGCCATACTACAATGTGGTATAAGCATGTCCTTGAGGCATTTGTTTGTTCTCACACAATATCATAGATAGTGAAAAATGTCAAAACATGCGGACAGTTTTTTGAGCCACTGTATATTGACTCATCCACTGTTAGTACACTCCTTTGACTATAGGCACACACTCCTTCTGCAACCTGTGCTCCCACTTAACTTCAGTCTGGTCCTAGGAATCTGTCCTCCCATGTCCTATCCATGTCCACCTATCTCCACTGGTGCATTATTTTTCCTGAATATCATTGCTAAATGAGCTGCAGGTCCTATTACACACTACTCATGTTCTGCAGTGCATGATATCTTATTACCTATAGACTCATCACACACTTGCTTACTTCACTACAACTCCCACCTACGCATTCTCAATGTTCATGTGCTATGTTAAAATGAATACAGCACATACAATTCAAGTAGTTCCCTTTTCCCCGGACTCAGCTCTATAGGAGAGTCACTCTTGTGTTATTTTTGTAGACCTTGTGCAATTCAACTGCTCTGAAGTTCCATATCACTAGGATGTTATACTAAGGCTCTTGCAAGAAGACCTGACCTGCAATCAGTAGTTTAGCACAGTCCCTCTCTTGCATTATTTCTCTTGCATCATATCTTCCTTGTATACATCCCACACTTGTGACACTAACAATGATTGATTCTTAGACTTAGGAACTCAAGGGTATATATACAGCCTACACTCTTGTTTTTAGGCCACTATAGACTATAACTCCTTTACTCATTACTTCCCTTGCACAAATTCAAAGGAAGTGCTTCAATAGCAGTCCTCTCAGGCTGATCTATTAACTCACACCTCTTGGGATAAGTAGTGCTAGTTGCTAATAGCCTAGTTCCTATTTCTCTTTCACAACAGTCGAAGCAACAAAGCACCTGCCTTACCAACCTTGCCAACTTCTCTAATGAAGGGCAGCCCTTTGTCCCCATTGACAGTGGGGTCATTGAGTGTGGCAACATCACCAGAGCCTGAGGCTGGGGGTGAGTACCCCCCTTTATTCTAACTTAACTCTAGTTGACTCAAGGTGCATAGCTGCAGCAGTGGCATCACCTCAGGATGGTCCATCTAATTCACACATGAAGGGTAAGCCTTTTCTTTTCTAAATCAAATATTCTTGCAAATGTCTATTGATCTATTACCCTCTATCTACCCTCTAGTAAAACCACATCCAATTACCAAGGAATCCAAGGGTACGATGAAATGTGCTCTTCATATGTCATACAGCTGCTTGGATAGATCTGCAGTGGATGAGGGTGGGAAGATGGATGTGGCTGTGAAGAGTGCTGTCTCCCCTAGTTTAGATAATGTCCCTGTGGAAATAGTACAGGAAGACTTGCCTTTGGAGGTGATGCAGGATGATGGGCCAGTAGGAGATTGACAGGGAACATCTCAAACCAATCCCATTGAGGAGGATCTTCACCATATCATTTACAACTCCCGTGACCCTCCAGATACCACACACCAAGCTTGTGATGAGCTTTCTGTTCATCATAACCCTCCTAAGGGTATCCAGTAAGGCTCTAACAAGGCTGACCAGTGAGACCCTGTATACTAACCATAGGAACCTCAACATGAGATTATCCACATCTGTCACAACAACCCCTTGTGTTAACATTTTATGCCACTTTATTTGTATTTATGTATCCAAAGCTGTGAAACCTGACAAATTGATACTATGATCAGAAGGCTGATGATTTGTAACTAAAGCACAGCAACAAGGCAGTGCTGACACAGCTTTTACCAAGCATTATTACAAAGCATAGCAGTGTTATGGTCTTAACACAGCCTTTGCCAAGCATTCTTGCCAAGTATTCTATAACATTCCAGAGCATTCTATAGTTCTTTCTTTATGACTCAATATGACTCCAATTTAATTTAAAGTACATTAGTAATCTGTAGCATAGCCACTAGTCTAGTAGTATATAAGGGGCTTATTTCCCTCTCTTGTGAAGCAATTAATTTCATTACCAAGTATCAATCATCCAGTCAGAGTGAGATAAAGTTTAGGGGGATTAGTGCATACACCCCTAAGTTTCTTTACCCCTATTATCTAAGTGAACAAATAAGTGACAACTAGGAGAAATATTAGCTTATTTACTCCATTCTTTTACTCCATTCTTCACACACTTGAGGCATATTTGATTACATAAGTAGTATTCATTCTAGTTCTCTTTAGACACAGCAAAAGTTCTGTGGGGAGAATCACATATATTATTCATCAATTAGGGAAGACAAATAAGACCTACAATCTGTTAACAAATATTAAGAGCTTGGCCACTTAAGACCACATCAAAGGGTATACTCTGTTCTGGACTGTGTCATACTCATAGTGAGTGCCTGAGCAGCAGAGAGTTGGTTTCAAGGCCATGTATTGGGATGATTTTACTGGTGAATTTGATCTCCATTGCTGAAGATAAGTAAGAAATATCCACAGGGATATATTATAGCTCTAGTCATTGCATACAGCTGCAACATATTATTCTGAAGGTCATGGCACTGCATCAAGCTAGTTATTGATTTCCACACTTCCTTGCCCATTTTACATCACTAGTGTTCACTTGAAAAGTTCAACAAAACCTTGTCCCCCACAAATGACTATATTACCAATTGTTGGTATTTGTCCGGACCATTGTCCATAGAAGGATAATGAATTTGGTGACTTTTCTGCCTTTCACATCCTGGTAAGACAACACCACATTGAATTCACAAAAATATCAAGAAATACATGGAAATTCAATGCAAATAAGTAATTACACCTTATCCATAACATAGTGATCACAAGCAGCAGCAAACTCAGCTTGTGCAGTTGCAGGGCCTTGAACATCATTGGCAACAAACAGTTTCAGTGCATGGTCCCAGTGATGCTGCCACTTGAAAAGGCATGTTCAGATGCAATGGCAGAGCCCTGAATGGCAAGATAGTCTTTTGTGATGCAGGAAATGGTGGGATATTGAAGAATCATGCTAAGAATATTGTCAACTCACAAGAAATTGTAATACAAAGAACTACACTTACATCCCACCACACCACTATGTTATCGACATCCTCTAGCAGTACCATGAGATAACCATTGAGCTCTTGGCAAGGCCTTCAGCTGGCAGTGTTGTTCTTGATCTGAGATTTCATGATGTCATGCATCCAAGTGTGGCCATATGATATGGAAAGCAGGACAGCCATGCTCACTTTGTCACTGTGACACCATACATAATATGCAACTATAATATAAGGACTCTGTGTACTGCAGGAACCTCCTTGCTTGATAATGTTTGAGGTCATTTCCCACCCTCAAGATCAAGAAAACTCATTGATAAGAAGTGTTGATATGAGTTCTACTGTACTACATATTTACTACTTGTATGTTTTGTCATTCTCCTCATCATCAGAATACTAAGCAGTCAACCTCTCCTCTTTGACAACTTGTTCAGCAGGAAGCAAAGATGCATCAGGTTCACCCTGCTTGTCATATCCCACAATCCAGACCCATATTCCATCATATTCCCATGCCTTCTGAACCTACATCCAGACCCCACCTCATATCCAACTTACTCCCCATTCTTCATCCACTGCCTGCTCTACACCTCAGCAGGATCAGCTCCACTATGGAATTACCCCTGAGCTCCAGACCATCAAATCTCCACTACTAACCTGATCCATACCCCCTATCCTGTCCACCCTATACACACTCCATCCAGCAAGACATCCAAACTTCACCTTGTCTTGGATTCTGGACTATATCCACCTCCTCATATCCTGGTCCTGTATCTACCTCATCTTCCAGATCCCCAGATCTCTGGACCTATTCCCACCTTCTGTCTGATATCCTGCACCTATCCCCATTCAGACATCTTCACCTTTCTGGCTTTTGGTTACCTCTTATTCTATCTTACTTATTAATCCTTGTATAAGTCTCCATCTCCAATTTCATTTACTTATGTTCTGTCTTACTTACTAATGTGCTTCCACATGCTTGTACATAGCCTTGCTCCTTTGCTTACTGGTTCCCTCAGATATTCTCCAGTATATAACCTCTGTAGATACTTCTGTAGTTTCCTCAGTTTGAATATCAACTTAGACTTGCCCAATTTTCTCTCAGACTTTGGTCCACATAAGTCTGTCCTATCCACAGGCCTAGGGATTAATTCCCTAGGCTGGAGCTTTGTCTTTCCAGCACTTACCCTCTTTCTGGACTTAGGTCCAATCCCTGTCTCTCCAACTCTACCTTAGGGTAGTCTACCTCTGTTTGTTTCTATATTGAACTCTGTCTGATATAGCCCCTATTCCTTCTGGACCTCTGGGTGTCTCATCCTACTAACCCTTGGACATCCTATCCTTCCATCCTGTTTCCTGTAGAAGTATTACTTTGCAGTGGGAACTCTCCTGAGCACTTCTTGCATTTCTCCAGAACTTTTCTGCATTCCTCTGGACTTCATCAGACCATCATCAGACTTCATCTGAAATGAAAGGCACATACTTGGGTAAGGGGCATAGCATATGAGCTGAGGCCAAGCCCCTTAGAATCAGTCCCTCTCTCTGCTTTGAGCAAACCGATTCTTAACACTACTCTGCAAGTGAATCCAGTCAGTGATGGTCAGATGTGTCTGGTTTGTAGCCATTTAGAATATAGCTAGTTGGCCTCAATGCACAAAAGACTTACTGAGACCTAGTCCTCTATGTACACCACCAATGGCAGCCTTGCCAAATAATAGCTTCCTCTGATTTTCAAGGAGAGGCAAGTGGTTTTTGTTAATATCATTGTCATCTATAAATAGATCTATTGGTGGTAGTAGCTGCTCACCAAGTTGGATAGAATGAAGCAATCTAAGTAGATGGGCCAGGCTGACTGGTGGGTAACTGGAGGCTGACCAAGGTCATCATAACAACATCAAATAAAATGATTGAGTGGTTGAGGCACCAAGTCAAACACTGAATGATCAGGTTTGACATAGACACCTCATACATGATCTATGGTGTCCTGATCAATGGTTACCTAGCATGTATAATATGAGAATTGAATTGAAGTTAGTACCAGTAGAATGAAACTCACCTTAAAATCCAATGCACCAAAGTCTTCAGGGGACTCATAGATTAGGTTTGGTATACCATGAGGGAGAACCTAGTTATCAGTCAAAAGTGTGAGAGTGGTGTGCATGTCAGGTTGCAAATAAAATACCTTATTATGGTCATGTCTCTTCACAGTGTTATTGATGTGGTCTTGATACCTATCTAACTCACATTGCAGCCATGAGATAAAAACCCATCAAAATACCATGCTAAACAATCTGACAATGAGAAGGAGTAGTGAGGCACACTATTCACTTACACCTGAAGAACATTATTGCTATTGTACCAACCATTTTCCATGCCTTTGTCCAATAGTGATTCATAACCAGGAGTAAACTAACAGTGTAACTGAGACCAGGTGATCTTGGGTGTGACATTCTTTTTGGTGTGTATCCACCAGTATTGTAATGTGTCTTGGAGTGATACATCATACATTTGATGGAGCATGGTGTGTGCATTGGCAATTCCATAGTTCTCGGATCCTGGATCACTCTGAGTAATCATCAGAATGTCTATTTTATATTGCTAAGTCAAATGGCATAATAAGCATCAGTTTAAATAAACTTATAACCAAGCTTCTCAATGGTATCAAGATAGTACATGAGTATAAGTTGGGGGTTTTGGTTCAAGTGCCAGACTCATATCCACATAATACAACCAGAGAACAGCTCTATTCCAGTGTGTAGGGCAAGACTGAAATGAAGCCATTTGTTGTGCTGATCAACAGTGAACAAGTTGTTTACACCAGTAGCCTAGAATCATCTCCACTGAAGCCAGTGGGCTTTCTGCTGATGCACAAGCTCCACCTCAAATGCAGCAAAGTACAAAATGACCACATTCCTGTGATTGCTGTTAAATTCCCTGTAGGTTAGAGGGAGACAAATCAAATACCTTGACACTCATATCCTTCTCATGAAAGAGTAGGGAGACCATTTCTTGTGCACCAGCATTTGGATATGCCTTGTGTAGATCCATCATGGCATCACAGATGGATTCAATAGAGTGGTTCTGCTGCTGAGTACACTGAAGTCCCATAGCATTATATATCTTCTTGAACTTCATAATACTGTGCACCTGGCAATCAGAGCAGGAGTAGCAACCAACAGAAACTCACTGACCCTATTCCATAGTGGGATGTATCAATGAGTTTCTGCAAGTTCTGCACAATCATCTTATCAGTCTGACAAGCTCTCCAAAAGTGCAGGATGTGATGTGTTATCTCCTCAAGAGGCACTGCCAAGTTAGTCAGGCTAAAGCTCACAATTACAGAAGATCACTAAGTTCATGTACAAGTCAGCTTCCATTGATTAGGCATGCCAGAATATTCAGAGTACCAAGTCAGTCAAGAGCTCTGTAAATGAGTGGATGCTTTTAAGTGCACCAGGACCCAGGATACTTATCTCAGCAATAGAACTGTCTATGTGTGACCGCCTGCATTAGAGCCATCTGTACATGCCTGCATTGGCACTGATCTCTCTTAGAATCATGGGAGACAATGACTTATAGACTGGGATGATCAGACAGAGTGTGCCCACATTTGAGCTATCTTGATGACTTATGGAGTCAGCTATCACTTGACATCATCTATGTGTGCCTGCCTGCATGAGAGCCATCTGTGCATGCTCACATTAGAGCTGAACTCTCTTAGAATCAGGGTATGACTTACAGACTGGGATGATCAGACAGGGTGTGCCCATATTAAAGCTGTCCATGCATGCCCATTGTGGATAACACAACTTGGCTAGATAGTTGTTAGAATACCTAGCCAATATATGTCTACTGGTCCTGCCTAGCTGCTACACTTGCAAGCAAGAATATTTGACCCAAGGGACCCACTATCTAGTCAAGTTCAATAATCAGTACTATGTGAAAGGGTTGAAAGTCCGAAGGTCAGGGATCAAGTCCAAAGGTATGGGATGAAGTCTGATGCACAGGAAATTGGGTCTGCAGGTGTGAAGATGCAGAGATGGTAGGAGAGCAAGGAAAAGGAAGGGAATGCATCAGGACTAGCTTGGAGATGTTAAGGAATGTCAAGTGAACAAGTGACAATAGTGTCAGGTCAGGGAGAGCGGTGTGTAAGAGAAATAGCGACTAGGCTGGTTAGAAACTAGTGCTACTTATCCAAATGGCACGAGTGTAGTATTTGACCCAAGAGGACTGCTAATGAAGTAACTCCCTACTAATATGCAAGGGGAGCGATAGCGCAAAGGACTAATAACCTATAGTGACCTAAGACCAAAAACCAATGAGTAGCACTATAGCGATCAGCGACTAGCAACAAGCAAGTTCCGACAAGAGAAATGTGCATATAAGTGAGAGGCACTATGCAAGCTGTTTTATGTGATAGCACTATGTGACATCCAACTAGCAACAGTGAGAAGAAATCAAAGGGAGCGAAAGTGAGGAGTAAGGTAAGACAGTGCAAGTGGAATGCCCAATAGCGACTAGATTATAGCTCAACTACCGATAGCAATCCCGATGTTGCAAAAGTCAAACTTAAGAGGGAACTTTAGCAATGTGCACTTAAAGCAAGTCAAGCAACACGCGATCAAAGAGATTGGCAAGAGTGGAATCGATTGCACCAAAACTAGGATATAGTGACTAAAGTGACTCTGACACCAGCAAAGGTCCAGGGAAGGGAAGTACTGTACTGTATGTAGGACAGGTCATTTTATCATACTGCATAGGGGTTCAGGATTGCATAGGTGAGTATAGTAGCAACACTGGCGAGGGCATGATGTAGCGACAGGTAATAAAACATGCAGTGCTGCAGAACATGAGGACACATGTAATAAGACCTGCGACTGATGAGTAGTGACATTTAAGGAAAAATAACGCACCAGCAGAGGTAGGTGGACATAGGCAGGACATGGGAGGATGGAATACCTAGGCATTGGACTGGGTAGCGCACTATGGGAGAAAAGTGGTTCCAAAGCGGATAGCTTGGGAGCTGAATAGTGCTGGTGACTAGCACCTTACTCTTTTCCTCTGGACAAGGCAAAATATGCCTATGACACTCATACACACCTAGCACTGGTATGATTGTCACAGCAGGTAAACAGGTATATTGTCAAGGGTAACTCTAAGGACAGGTATGGGGTGACCAGTATTGGGGATTTCTCCCTCCTACTAAGTGGTGATTGTAATCCTGGTTGCCCAACCCTATATAACTAACTACATGAAAGTCTGGAGTCCATAGGTGAAAGTAGTAGCAAAAATGCAGGTCTGATGATATGTAGACAAAAGGCCATGAGGTACTGTGGCCAGTGGGAATCCATGTAATAACACTGTCTACTCAATCAGTAATGGGAAATAACTGACTACACACTAGTAGGGATAAGTGCGACTGGACTAGACATGGTAGGACAAGTGTGTGGGATTTCCAAGCAGATCCAATGTATTGGAGATGGCAGGAAAGTGTCGGAGATGGGTAGGAGATGTGCAGACTAGATGGGGATTGCAGAATAGGGTCCTAATAGGCCAGCCTGAACATGATCATCACATCATGTTAGAACCATCTGTGTGTGCCTGCATTAGAGCTGATCTCTCTAAAATCATAGGAGACAATGACTTACAGACTGGGATGATCCCACATTAGAGCCATCTGTGCATGCCCGCATTAGAGCTGATCTCTCTTAGAATCATGGGAGAGACAATGACTTAAAGAGTTGGCCATCACTTGATGTCTGATGACTCATTTGCAATTCTGAGTCCAAGTTGGATAGGGCCATCAGATTCTACAGTTGATGACTTGTTTGCCTCAAAATCATGTGATATTCATTGGTGGATGAGCTAAAACTTGTCCTAAAAGAAAGTAGAGTCATGTACTGGGCAAAATCACTCTTCAACTACACTTACAATTACATTGACCACCATATCAGCACTTCACCAACACCTCCACCCTTTGAGACCCCTCATGTGAATTTTGTCAATGCTAGTGTTGCTTTGGGGTATGGCCAGTGCAGTGCCAGCTTGAAACCAGGAGAAAAGTCAAACACAAAGGCAGGAGCTGTTTTGCCCATTTATCTTCTTGAAGAGTGCATCTTGTTTGACAATAAGGAGGAGTTTACCAAGTTCATTCACAACATGGACTGTGTTCCTTCTCTCAATAAAGATGAATATGAATATGATCTAGCTGTTTTCCTTGCATTCATGCAGCATGTTCAATACATGCAGACTGAAGGTTTGGCATTTGTTTCTGATTATCAAGGTGTTCACTACCATTCCTCAATACCCATTTGTACTCAGACTGATACACAACTTTAGGGAGTTTGACACTTCTAATGGACCCTCAAATCTTGACTCAGCTGTGCATGTTTCTATGCTATTTGTTCATTTCAATGACCTTTTTTCTTCAACAGGTCTGTGAGTGAAGGAGGTGATGTCTTTGGGGACAGAAATATTGAGGACATGGTAGATGAGTTCAAGCACAAGCATTCTTGCAATTGTTATTGTAGATGGCTGGGATTTGGATTGCAGCCCTTTGTCAGTTCTGAGAAGGACAATTAGTTAGATTTTTGGGTGTAAGATCTTAGAGTTATTGTATGTCAATGATACCTGCTTGAATTGGTTACTACTATTTATTGTAGCAGCAGCGAGCTGCCAATCCCTGCTCTTCCTACCTGATTCAGACACCCCATACAGTATTATGTCTCTTACCAAACCCTCCCTTTGCATTACACTTTATCTGCTATACATACAGTCAGAAGATATTCAACCACTGTTTTTGATAACCTGTTCCTTCCTGCATCCAACCCCCAGTCTATTACCTCTGCTTCTTTTGGACCTCATCTTTATTAATCATCTTTACTCCCCTCCTCAGTCCAATTCCTGCACATGCACAGGTCCCCTGTGCTGTTTGCCTACATTGTACATTGGTGTAATTCTATCCATGAATCTTGGGGGTGGTGCCCACAGTCAAGATCACAAAGTGAAACCTTTCTGAAACAACACATGTCACACGTGTCAGTAACATCAATATTAATGAAAGACTAGAAGGATAATGAAGGGTAGGATCAAGCCCTACCACACATGTTCAACCCAGATCAGCCTACAGAAGGCATCTCCAAGCATGTGCAGCCTACCAAGTTGCTTCACCTACAGAAGGCTTGACAACTCAGGAAGATGTCAAATGGGAAGGTGTGAAAGGCTCAGAAGGAAAGGCAGGAAAACACAAAGGGACGTTCAAGAGAAATGACAATAACACTGAAAAAGTAAATGTCTCAGTCAGATACCATAAGGAGGAAAGTGGTAGAAACTGAGAGAGCTGAGAATATTCTAGACATGCCGCAGAGAATGAGATCCCTCCAGGCATATATTGCACATATTATGACTCATGACAATTGGTATAGCACATGACTCACTCCCTATGACTTTCCCATGAAATGCACCAGAGGCACAACACATTCCCACGCACACACTTAGCACACTCTTCCCATGCTCAGTCACCCTTTGTCATGCAGCATCCCAGCACATCCATCCATTGTCCAACCAGTCCCCTAGTACATCTATTTATTTTCATTATCAGACCATTTCTAGCATTGTACAATACATTATTTCATCATGGACCCTTTTCTTACCTCATTTACATACATAGAGCACTCCCTATTCACTTCTGAGCCCTGGGAGTGCACATAGGCACAGCTTACCTGTTGCCTAAAAAGTTTTCATACAGCAACCACCACCACCAGAATAAACAACCACCATCATGTAGTCAGCATCTAGCAGTTAGAATCCACCATGAGTTAGCATCTATCAGAGTCATTGCCCTAGTCTTCAGCATCAGTCTATTATCATCAGTTACCACTCAGCAGCCTCAGCACACATCCTCATGCCTTCTACCAGTCTTTTATATGTCCATGCACAGTACATGCCTTATTCCCACACTTCATGCTCCTACACGCTCAACATTCCCACATACGCGCTTTCAGCATGCTTCACCAGAGTTGACCTGGTGTCACCTTGTGGGTATGCTTTCCTTGCTTCCCCTAAGGGTTGAACACATTGCTTGGCGCACTTCAACCAACATTTAGAGAGTCAGTAGGCCTTCCTCTCACCCCAGAGTGAGAGCTTTCTTTCTTTCTTTTGCTCTGCAAGCCAGCAGAGTAGTTGAACCTTCAACTGGAGCCCACTGCAAGGGGAACAGTTAGCTTATCCACATGCCCTTTCAACTCTATTCCACCTACTCACGCTTCCAATACTTCATCTGCACTTTTCGCCTTTTTCCACCTTTCCACACTCTTTCGCATTTTCCCACGCTTCACTCGCACATTCACACACCATGAGTGACCTGGTCAACAGAGATGGCATGCCCTGGCCCAAGTACCCAAATGCGCCATGTTTCACAGGAGACCCATTTGTGGTCCTTGCACATTTACAGCATGTAGATCGACTTGGCCAGATGAACAACCTATTGGGCACCCAGTGCATTAAGTATGTTCTTAAGTATACTCATGATGCAGACTCCAGAGAGCTGTGGCAGGGATTGCCTGAATATAGACAAGGTAACTTCGAAGATTTTGCTAATGAGATTATGTCCATGTATCCAGAAACTGGAACAAACACATATACATGACCTGCCATCCAAGCACCCACTGCATGTGCACCTCAGGAGCTAGAATGTGCTGTAGAGCAACCAGAGATCGCGCCTATAGCACATCAATGTGCCTCAAGTATTGCTAATCCCATTCCAGTCACCCCAGAAGCACCAGTCATTGAACTTGCCCCACCACCAGCCCAAGTTGAAGTGCCAATCATGTGCGCACCTCAGCAACAAGAATACACTCCAGTGCGCCCCTATACTGCGCCTATTATGCCTCCAACTGAAATATGCGACCCTATCCTCATCCCAGTCTCCCAAGAAGCACCCTTTGATGAAATCATGTCATCACCAGTTTATATCAAAGTGCCCATTATGTGCGCACCCCCAGAGCCCAGACCTAAACCAGAGAACCCATCAGTTGAAGTCACTCCACCCCAGCTCAAAATACACAAGCCTATCATTGCCCCAATCCTTCCAGAAGTGCCTCTGGAAGAGATCTTGTTGCCTTTAGTCAGGAATGACTCTAAACATCTATCACACATTTACACGCCCATTCTGGAGCCTTCTATCACATCAGAAGCTCATTATGCGATGCTATCTGACCAGAGTATGTCTCTGGTAACCCTGCTTGTCACTAATGAGTCTGCACCTGTCACATTTTCTTCATACAGTGACTATTGTCTGCTGGTAGAACACCCATGCATCACATTGCCTATCCACCAAGTAGAGTATGTCTCAGGTGATCCTGAGGTGCCTTCAGAGTGCTGTATTGCACCTGAGGTTGCACAGGTTGCGCACTTAGAGGCACTGTATATTCATCCTCAACTATCACCGCATTTTGCATTACCTTCACATCTTATGCTCTCAAGGAGCCATTCACCTGTCACAAATATTTCACCTTCATCTTCACATCAGTTTGCCAGTATTTCGTCATTCATGCACTGTATTCGCGCACCACATGCCTATATTCCCACACTATATGTGCCTATCATAGCAGAGGAGTCTTCCTGCTGTCGCATTTTTACTACTTCATCATTTATAAGTCGCTTATCTTGGACTTCATATCAGTCCTGCCTTAATCTGATGCCTATGCGCGACTTACGCGCTCGCCTTGCACATATTCACACACCTACAGTGGCTCAAAAAACTGTCCACATGTTTTGACATTTTTCACTATCTATGATATTGTGTGAGAACTCACAAATGCCTCAAGGACATGCTTATACCACATTGTAGTATGGCTTCAGGGCTTTCATTTGAGCCCTACACCGTGGGAATCGGTGGAGATATGGTGGAGATACAAGGTTCACAAAATGGTGACTCATGCGGACAGTTTTTTGACTCTAGTATTTTGTATGACCTCCCTTGGCTTTAATTACTGCCTCTATCCTTCTAGGCATACTCTCAATTAATTTCTGGCAATCCTCAGCTGTGATCTTCCCCCATTCCACTGCTACTCTTTCCCAAAGCTCCCATACTCCTTTAGGGGGGTTTTCATAGGCTTGAAGCTTTTTCTTGAGTGTTCCCCAGAGATGTTCAATGACATTGACATCAGGAGACTGTGCTGGCCAGTCAAGAACATTGATGTTATGTTCTTCAAACCATTCCTTAGCTCTTCTGGATGTATGCTTGGGATCATTATCCTGTTGGAAAATGATATCTTCTTCATCAATCCCTGATTCTGCCAAGCTAGGCAGCAAGTGGTCATTTAAAATGTCCACATACTGCTCAGCATTCATCTTCCCCTCAACCTCAGCAAGCATTCCCACACCATTCCATCCCATACAGCCCCATACCATTAAAGAACCTCCTCCAAACTTGACAGTCCCATTAACCTCTCTGTCTGTTAGGCCATCTCCCTTCTTTTTCCATACATATACCTTCCCATCTGACCCAATCCTATTGATTTTGGTCTCATCTGACCATATAACATGCTTCCAGTCCTCTACAGTCCAGTGTTGATGAGCTAAGGCAAAGGCTAGTCTTCTCTGCCTATGTTTGATGGAGAGAAGAGGCTTTTTCTTCTTTGTTACTGCCTTGAGAACATTCCTCACAGTTTGTGAAGAGACAGGGGTAGTGATGGTGGAATTGATATAATGGGTGGTTTGGACAGTATTATCAGCCTTTCCTGTAGTGATATGTTGGATAATAGCCCTTTTGTCAGTAGAGGTAAGCTTGGATGGATGTCCTCCACAAGAGTTTTCCTTGTCTGTGTGGCTTTCTTTGATAAACTTGGCCACAGTGGACTTGCATACTCCAGTTATAGAGGAAATTTGGCAAGCAGGGAGGCCAGCATAAGACAGAGAGAGGATATTATCTCTTTGAGCAGAGGAGATGGCTTTCATGGTGATTATGACTATGATACATGAGATATTCTGGTTTGTATAGTTAGATATAGTCATAAAATAACATAATGACACCACTTCATAATTTATATAATAGTGGCATGATTTTTGTGGTGTCATAAATAATGATTTATATAGTTTTAATATACACTCAAGAAACTGTCCACATGAGTCATCATTTTATAAGCCTTATGTCTCCACCATATCTCCACTGATTCCCACGGTGTAGGGCTCAAATGAAAGCCCCTGAAGCCATACTACAATGTGGTATAAGCATGTCCTTGAGGCATTTTTTCATTCTCACACAATATCATAGATAGTGAAAAATGTCAAAACATGTGGACAGTTTTTTGAGCCACTGTATTACATTCATCATTATCTTTGACTTTGCATATTTCACCTTAATTCGCATTTTTCGCTCATTCACCTATTATGTTGATATCATCTTCACAAGCCCTACCAAGGGCTATCCATTTATGTCTTGGTGCCAATTGGCCCTTGACAAAGAGTCTATCAGATGCAGTCGTGCAATATTCGTGCCTAATCTCACTTATCATTCATCACATGTTAATATTCTAACAGTATATCAGTCCATCCTCACTTTAGAGGACATAGAGAACAACACACCAAAACACGATTGTGCGCGCAGCTCAAGTGCACATCATATACCCACAGAGCACCTCCACACACCTTGCATTGCCCCATTAGGGCGCGCTTTCAACTTGTACCACAAGGTGCAAGAATTCATTCCACCAGTTACTAGTCCACCATCACGTCGCATTTGAAGATTCAGTTTATACCTGGTAGGAGAAGATGTTGCAGAGTCAGAAGATGAAGATACCACCATTCTTAGTGGCCTTTTACATCACCTCGCACATTTATCACCTTCTGCACCACCTGCTTTTCACACTCCATCAATTCACAATACCTTATACTGCCATTCTTCATAGGATATATTTCATTTTACCCTGGGTTTTGTCCAGCATTTTTCACTTTTCATTTTTACTCATCATAATGTTGTCCAAAGGACTAATAATGTGCTGATATATACACTTATAGGAAAACCACTAGAAGAAAAGAAGAAAAACAAAGACCATAGATTGTGCCCACCTAGCTCAGTAGGATATTCTTTCTTTTCGAACACATGAAGTGGCACCATGCACCTTATTTACCTTAGAACGCACTGCATGCATGCACCATTCCTGCACCACAGTCTCATGCTTCTGCGATGCATAGGAAGGTATAGATGTTGACAGAAGAATGAAGGAGACAAGTCAGACTTGAACATCTGCACAGTTTGCTCTCTCTTTTCAAGCTTTTTGTATTTTTGCTTATAGTTTTACTCATGCCATTCAATCCCTAATAGTTAGATCTCCTAGTGGGACCTGGTTTGGACATGGATTGGATCACTTTCGGACCACTTGCCATTGCCTTATACCTGCACACTTGCATTGGACCCAGACCTCATCGCACAATCAGCCCCTCATGCTTCCTTGCAGTCTTGCAGTCTCACAGTTCGCACATTTCATATGCAACTTTCCCACGCCTCACGTGACATATCTGCACACATTCCACACCATCACAGTCATCTCATTAGCCGAATACCCCTTGCACAACCATCACTACCATAGTCTAGAGCTCATATCACAATTCCATGCATCAGAGTCACTTCACACAATCTGCCATATGTGACACATCCTCACACTATGTGACATGCTTTCCCATGCTCGCACACATCACACATTTCTTGTGCCTTGTCGCACTACCATCCAAGCATATACATATCATACTCATCGATCACCACATACCATTATCAGTGACGCTGCTTGAGATTCTCACCAGACATGCTCTGAGTGGGGACACTCAGTATTTAAAGTACCCAGGAGATGTAGAGAATGAGATCCCTCCAGGCATATATTGCACATATTATGACTCATGATGATTGGTATAGCACACGACTCACTCCCTATGACTTTCCCATGAAATGCTCCAGTGGTGTGACACATTCCTGCACTATGCAATGCATTCCCGCGCATGCACTTAGCACACTCTTCCCATGCTCAGTCACCCTTTGTCATGCAGCATCTCAGCACATCCATCCATTGTCCAACCAGTCCCCTAGTACATCTATTTCCATTTATTTTCATTATCAGACCATTTCTAGCATTGTACAATACATTATTTCATCATGGACCCTTTTCTTACCTCATTTACATACATAGAGCACTCCCTATTCACTTCTGAGCCCTGGGAGCACACCTAGGCACAGCTTACCTGTTGCCTAAAAAGTTTTCATACAGCAACCACCACCACCATAATAAACAACCACCATCATGTCAGTTAGTCTCTAGAGTGAGAATTTATCATCTTCAGTCAGCATGCTTCAGTTGTCACCCTAGCCCTCAGCAACAGTCTATTATCATCAGTCTCCTCTCAGCAGCATCAGTTCACATCCTCATGCCTTTCACCAGTTTCATATACATTCATGCACTATGTGCACCTTATTCCCATGCTTCATGCTCCTACATGCTCCATATTCCAGCATGCATGCTCCCAGTGCACTTCACCAGAGTTGACCTGGTGTCACTTCGTGGATTTGCTTTCCTTGCTTCCCTTAAGGGTTGAACATATCGCCTGGCACACTTTGACCAACATTTAGAGAGTCAGTAGACTTTTCTCTCACCCCAGAGGTAGAGTCCTCTTTCTTTCTTCTACTCTGCAGCCTAGCAGAGCTGTTGAACCTTTAACACACTCAAATGGAATAGGAAATGATTCACATGCATACAAAAATACTGTGTGCCTGGACACTTTGATCTGACAGAACCCTCCCTACTTCATAGAGTCAGGGATTACCAATACTTGACATCCATCGGGTGTTCAAAATCCTACTGCCTAATAGGGATGTGTGACATGAAAAAACAAGCACAGCCATCCTGCTTTCCATAATATGACCCTTGATGAGTGAGTAAGGAAGGAGCAAGAACAGCCTGCTCTGCATCAGGTGAAGAACTTGAAGTATGATGATAATATTTGTCAGACTGTGAAATTAACACACTTGCAATTGAACATAAGACAGACATAGACTTACAACATTTTCCAAGCATTTCATACCTGTATCAAAGTCATGACACTCCCATTTACTCTTCACATATGTGATCTTATAGTTGGGATCAAGTGCTAGGATGACAGAGTACATTAGAGGGGACATTATCATAGTAAATATCATTGTCATTATTATCATGGTAATGGACAAGACAGGAGCCAGTTTGCACTTGCTTGAGTGCAGGCTGCCCTTGAGGAGGCACTGGAGCCAATTGTTTGGCTAGAGCTGTGTTGGCAGCTTCATGGATTTTCTCTGTTGGTTTAAGAGCTCGACCTGAGCAAAAAGACACAAAAGCAGTCAGTGTGCCATTGGATGCAGAAGGTGGAGATGGAGTAGGAATGGGGAAGTCATCATCTGGGTCATTGTACCAATCAATTGCACTAGCATCTTTTAGTTTGCCATCAGATCCAAGTGCACATGCCATTCTTGCAGCCAGAAGAGTGAATATTGTACCTGTAGTAGATCATTTATACCAAAATTTGTGGTAAGAGATTAGAAAAATGTGACACACCTTAAACATACTGTTGCGATGTAATTACTGCAATAGTTGATTGATGTTGAAGCTTGAAGTACCTGAAAGAGCATCCTGAAGATAGGTTCTGGACATAAATTATATTATAATCTGAATAATGATGAACAGTGAACTTACTGAAACATCAAGTAGATTACTGAGGAAGTCAGATGTTGCTAATAGAAATGCATTGAGTGTTTTGGTCCTAAAGAGAGAGCTGTTCTTGATCATTCCAAGATCAATGTTCCCAGGACTGACAATGGCCATATTGAGTTCATTGCCAGAAGATCAGAGAAAATATTAGCATAGATGGATAGTACTAAGCCTGAGGATGTCGAGTGGATCATATACAGAAGCAGGAATGGTTTGAACATGTTTGGATGGGTTTGAACAGGTTTGGAATTTTCAGGTACTGTAGAGATATGCACCTAAGTTCATCACACTGTCACACACCTAGCAAATTGAACCTATTTTGCATGATGGTCACACCAAATTTGAGGCTGTCAAACCTAAACTGTGACATACAGTAAAAACATGAAAAAAAAAACATCTAGTGCAGCAAAAAGTCCTTGTACTGAGTGTTTGCAATGCATCTGTGCTTGCCACAACCCCCAGCCTCAACCTCCTTAGACCCATTCACTGTAGATTGAAGCTCTGTGTCATCCACTGGCAGTACCACTTGCTCATAGCTCTCCAACTTGTTGTCTACCAGCAGATTACCCGATTCATCAGTGTTATAGCCATGAGGGACAGATGATTCACCTGATGTGATATGCTGCAGAACAATATCCATGGAAACATCACTAGGATTGAGCTCAACATCTGCTGCATGTGTGAAAGGCAGCTCTTCTTCCTCATCAGCCTTGGGAGTTTTATATTGAGCTGTTTTGATGCGATCCCAAGTTGTGGTGTCATTTTTCTGCATGTCATGCAGTGCATGAAGAGCCTCACCACTGGTGAGGCTCACAAAAGAGAGGTTAAATGCTGTGCCAGCCTTGCACTGAAAGAATGACTAAATGTTTCAACATCAGCAAGAAAAATGAGGACAATGCAAGTGACATACTTGTTTGACTATGTTGGGCTTGTTAATAGCATGGTAACCATTCATGAGCCAGCATAAAGATCTATCATGGAGAGTGGGTAATGTTGTGTCCAGTCAGATGACATATGCAGCTTTATCTTTCTTCAGTAATGACAATGACTCCTCAACAATATTGGCATGTTGAGACTGCTTGACAGCAAGCTTGAATGGGCGCTGGATGCCAACATCACACAGCTGGGCAATTCCAGTGCAACCACCAGGAACAAAGTGGTACTTGATCCATGGGTACTGCTGATCAAGCCAAGTGCAAAACTGCACAGACTTGTGTACTGACCAAACATCCAGCTGTAGGATACATTCTTGGTCATTATTAGAGATGAAGCTGTAGAGTGAGCACTTCCAGGTTGAGTGCAAGGATCAGCACACTTAGTGCTGCATATGTATATGAAGGAATGTGTCTGCCTAATGTTGGTCATCAAACCTAAGCACAGTGTGTCACACGTCACACCCCCCATGAACCTTTGAACCTAATGTTCATTTGGTCACACCTCAATAGGGCCAAACCTAAGTGCATATCTCTACAGTATCAGCCAAACACTGGACATAATAATGTGTTCAGTCCTGAGAGTATGTCAAACGTCAGACTGAACTGACAGTCCAGTCTGGAAGGGTTCAGGTTTGAACTGAAGTTCTGAACCAGACTCCAGCAGCACTAAGCACATGCCATGGACAACCAGAGCCAACCCTTTGATGAGGCCTATGAGGGTACTCCAGAGGATTTAAGGGAGACTCTGTCAATGAGGTCTATGAGGATACTCTGGTGACTCTGGAGGGTTTGAGGGAGACCCTCCTAGGAGAGGGTTGTCTCAGAGATGTGTTATGTCCTACCCTAAAACCAGGTCTGACAGACTGTGCGAAGCACTAAAAAGTGCCAAGGGTGTCTGTTCCCCGGTGTTGTGACATGATATGGCAAGCGCTTGCCATATCCAGATTTGGGACTTTTGGTGATGTACCATGTCACAAACAACTTCGATTCATTGGGGACCCTGGGATGCGTAACGAAGTTATAGTCGTCATAACTCCACAATAGATTGAGACTCCAGAGGTGCACACATTTGGTGTTTCACTATTAGGTCGTGTCTACTCAATCTACATGCTCAAATACCATCATTTATATGCGGCACCTACTTTCTCGTGCTCGCATGAGTAGCGCAGTTACCTGCAGGTTGCACAAGCCCTGGCTCCGCAATTTCTCCTTGTGCCTAACTTCAGACCTCCCATCATCCTACCCGTTGCCACTCAACTCCTCCCACCGACTCTAAACACCTTCCGCTGCCTTTTCCCACAATGTCCAAAGACTCAGAAGTCGGACGCAATGAGTTTTCGTTTTTTTGGCACCCGGATCTCTGACCCTTGCAACTCAATGACCTCTAACAGCTATATCTATCAACAATCTATGAACAACGGGAGTCGGAACATATTAAGAGTCAAGAGGTCAGGAAAGCATTCACCCTAGTCATCTACTAAGGTGCGTTTTATCTTCTTACTGTATCATTGTCTTCGAACCGTATACGTTAAATAGTCAGTGCCACACTTGTGTTTCCCACCCTGTTGGGAGTTAATCTACTTTGGAATATTAACAGGGCGCTACACAATCTGACAGTGGGTGCCGTCGCCGTTTAGGTCATTCCGCTTGCAGTAAATTGGACCTAGGCTATGCAGGCTTCCGTGGCGAGGCGCGTGGGTCTAGGTGTGTCCCAGGAACTGACCATGCGATTCCATGATTCAAGTCCCTGCTCATATGTCCCAGAATATCCGTGTTTCCATCACTATCTAAGTAATGGTATGTAATAGCACCGCAAACTGTCATCGAGCACATGTAGCACTACCCACAGTTTAGGCAAATAAAACCTACCGTATCAAACCGCGAACTCTGAATACCCATTTCCTTGCTCCCACCACAATGGCGTTCCAGCCTGCAGCTATCGAAGGCGGCAGGGACCCTCGGGTCTATCATTCAGAGAAGCAAGAGCAAGACGCATATGTCCCTGAGAACTACCATGTTCCTGATGATACTACACCCAATATCGAGACATACATGCACTACGCCAAGATTCAACGTGACAGGGAGGCCCTCTCTGCTAAGAATGATGCTGAAGGTGGCCGCTCTGGTGGCCTGATCTCGAGAATATTTAATCGTTCCCAGGAATCTGACGGTCGTTCCGTTGTATCAGCCCACTCTGATGCGAAGAATGTAGCTGCTTCCTCAGAGGAGGGGGGCACTCTATCCACCGCAGCCGAGTACCGTGCAGCTTCTGGGGCCCTTAGGACGGCCACGTGGGGGAGCGTCTTCTATCTTATCACCACTGGTAAGCTGATTGACAGGTTTGATGATTTTGATGGGTTCCATGACACCCTTCCCAAGATATTTTGGGTCCTTACTCTACCCCGTGGGCATTCCAACAAGTCGGATATGGTCCTGGTGTAGCCTGTTTCTTCGTCTTCGGCATTATGGCTGCATACAGTGGCTTCCTCCTATGGTGGATGTTCTTGAAACTGGACTCGGAAAGGTATCCCATCAAGTCTTTCGGAGACTTGGGGCAACGCATCTATGGCCGTTGGTTCCGGAATGGTACGTAAACACTCTCACGGATGCAGAGAATCGGTGATCATGTAGATCTACAGTCTGTAACATCTTGCAAAGTTTGCAGCTCGTGATCAATGTCGGGATCATTATTCTTGGTAATGGTCAAGGTCTTTCGCAGATGGCAAAGTTCAAGGTACCTTCTCATAATTTGGCGCATGTTGTCATCTAACTTAGCCCTCTATAGCTATGTTTCAGCGTCTGTAACGTTGTCTGGACCCTGGCTGGAATGATACTAGGTCAAATTCGGACTCTTCAGAAGTTTGGCAAGGTCGCCAATGTCTCTATCTGGCTGAACGTCATTGTATTGATTATGACAATGGCCTTTGTGGCTCACTCGTCACCTAACTATCTTGCGACACCATTTGGACAAAACGTAGGCCCCGTGATGACTCAGGCAATCAACCTACAGCCTTTCCAGGACCAGCTCAATGGTATCATGCAGATTGTGTTCTCATACGGTGGAGCGTAAGTCATCATAACTCATGGAGACATTCATGTGCAGATGAACAAATTATTTTAGTATGATTTTTGTCGAGTTCATGGCTGAAATGCGGCGTCCAATGGATTTCTGGAAGGCTATGGCACTTTCCCAGGTCTTCATCTTCATCGTATACATGTTCTTCGGCCTCTTCGTCTACACGTACCAGGGCCAATATGTTATTAACGTCCGTCGTTTCTCTCTTGACTTGGAATCCTATTGAGGATGTTGTTGCAGCCGGCCAACCAGGGAATTTCCGCTTATGGTCTACAGACTGCGACAAACGCCATTTCTTTGACTGCTGGTCTCATTGCTGCTGCATTGTATGGCAACATTGGTGTCAAAGTCATCTACAACAACGTTTTAGTGGAGATGTTTGGTTTCCCCCAGTTGACTGTTGCTCGGGGCAAATACTACTTCGCCTTCTCTGTCATAGTGTATTGGTCCATTGCCTTCGTTATTGGATCCGCCATCCCGCAATTCAGCTTACTCTCGTCGCTGGTTGCTGCCGTTTGCATCTTCCGTGAGTATTCATATTCTAGTTGCTCTCACCACAATTTAACCTCCTTTCAGAGTTCACATACACCTTCCCGCCATTTATGATTTTGGGTTACTGCATGCAACTGGACGCCACAAAAGGCGACGGACATTTTGATGTCAACAACCCCGATGCCCACCGCGTTGATACATGGAGGGATTTATCGCGTTGGAAACGTGCACGTACGTACCAACTTCTACCAAGAGTTCCTTCGCGCCAAATCTAACCTTGCCACTAGTCTTCACCAATCTCAACAACACGTTCTTCAACGTGTGGAACTTCCTTCTCGTGCTTGCATGCTTGTCTTGTGCTGTTCTGAGCGCGTACTCAGCCATCAGTGCAATGGTGACTGCGTTCAATTCCACGAGTCCTCCCCCATCGTTTGGCTGCAGGTCGCCAGTGGACAACAGTGGTTAGGAAGTCAAGTGGTTCGGACATCATGACATGAATTTGAACGTATGTTTTAGTTTAATTGAAAGCTGTAGGATGTCATAGATAAACTCACAATACTGAATTCGGGTATGATGTAGTATTCTGACATGCTCACCCTTAACATTAACCTAATGTACCCTTCCTCTACTAACGTGGGAGTCGGGGATAACAAATGTCCCAGGTCTTTGTCCGATTCAAACTCGTCTGATTTCTCACTACCAGCTCTTGCAACCTTAACCTTAACCTTAATCTCGTCTGCTATACACTTTCCGGCGAATCCTATCAATTCATCATGGTTTCCTTTGAGTCTCGATGCAGTTCCACTGACAAATGCCAGGACCATGAAGGGGGGTAGATTCTGGAGTTGAACCTAGATTAGGAGGCGGTGCAGTTGAACAGGTTGGAACTAGTCACTACAATAGGCCATGGAATATTGATGTACAAGGTGATAGAAGTTCGGATGGTTCCTAAAAGACGAGGGTCGAAACTGGAAGTCGTACACAAAAGTGCGAGGGAATATTACAAGAGTGAGTAAACAAATTTAGGGAGTCGGAGACCTGCTGCGTCAGCAGCAATACCCCTCTCATAGCACGTGGCGCGCAACAGGCAAGATCCTGTACACCATTTTAGTGGGGGTGTTCGATTTAAAAAAAATCCTTGTTTATTGTCCGTTGGGGCGAAGCCCTATGTTGGACACTACTCGAGGTGTTCGATGTTCAACGTTCAGCCTCAAACGTTCAGGTGTCACCAAACGTACGCATCTGGTCTACGGCACGTGAAGATGTATAACAAATTAAGTACGAAACCAATGCACTCCCACTGTATAGTTTAATAGAGCGTCTACACCCCACGAGCCTCGAGACGACTCCGGAAGATCTTCTGGAACTGCGGGACATGCTCCAAGTCCATGAGTGTGTGGTGTTCCCCAGGCACATCAGAATATGATGCCTCGCCGCGGCTGAAGCCAGACCATGGTTTAAGCTGGTTATTGAGCCAGTCGATCTTGGTTCCGGCAAAGGGAATAGCGTAGAAAACATCGAGTGCAGCTGAGGGGTTGGTATATGAGCAAGCGCTTCTGAAGTGAGAAAGTGAACAGACATACAAACTGAGCCTGATGGGTTGTAATCTAGTCCGCAATCGATGAGGGATCCGGCGAGGTCCACCCACTTATCAAGCTTCTCGAGCGTTAGCTGGAGCTCGATGATTCGTTCAGGAGGCGACATCTTCCACACAAACTCGAGTTGCTCCTGCCTCGTGAGCAGTCTCAGGGGAGGAGCTAGATCATCAGCATCATGCTTTGAGACGAGACCAAGGAAGGACGACAGGTGGAGCATGCCAGACGTCCAATCAATCTCGGTCATGCGGGGGGCAATATGAGGAGGAATGTTGATGAGACCGACGAACTTGACTTCATCGCCCATGGCCTCGAGCCGCTTAGCAACTTCAAATGCGACAACACCGCCATAACTGTAGCCCGCGATGGCGTATGGTCCTGTCTCCTGTGTCTTCTTGATTGCTGCGGTATAACAGGAAACCATCTCGTCCATGGAGGTGAAGTAGGGGTGCCCAGTATCAAAGCCACGAGCACGGAAAGCATAGAAGGGACGCTCGTTATGAAAGTATTTAGCGAGATTGACGAAAATGAGCACCTCGCCGATACCGGGGTGAACGAAGAAAATTGGTGTCTTATTTCCACTGAGCTGGAGGGGAACGATGGGATCGTACTCCTCAGTCTGGGTGCCCTTGGAGAGCAAGGTGTTGATGTAGTTCGCCAGGCTCGAGAGAACGGGGTGCTTGAGGATTTGAATGGCAGGGATGTCAGGAAGGCCGAAGTATTCCTCTCCTTCGCGCTTGAGCCTGGAGCTATGTGTCAGTGAAGGTGTTTAAAGGCAGAAACAGATATGCTCACCGGATAGCATCAATGGAAGTACCACCGATCTCGAAGAAATTGTCACTCGCCGACATCTCGCTTTCTGCAAGGTTGAAGATGCCAGCATATATCTTCGCAAGCGCCTTCTCCGTCTCGGTGGACGGGGCGACGAACGTGGCGCCTCGTGCCTTGCTGAGAAGCTCCTCAGAGCGCGCGATATGCTGACCAAGCTGGCCTTGCTTGAACAGACTGATCAGACGCGCACGAGACAGTTTACCCAGTGTGGTCTTCTCCATCTGGTTCACAGGGATTGGGACGATGACCTGAGGCGGCAGGGTGATCATCTTCACGCAGATATCCCGAAGGGCCCTGTGCGTACCAAACAGCTTTGTCGAAGCATCTGCTCCATCGAGGTCGAAGGTCGGTGAGTAGAAAATGATGAATCCTTCTGTCTCCTGCCCAGTGGCACGGTACGGAGCTGCAGCCAGGAACGAATGCGTGACCCCTTCCACGGTCTGGAGGTGGGTCTCGAGCTCAGGGATACCGTATGAGACACCGTGCACAATGACGGTGTCCTTGATGCGACCGCTAAGGCGCATCACCCCATTCTCGATGATGCCAACATCGCCGGTGCGATACCAGCCTCCCTCAACAAAGCTGGAGGAAGTAGCCTCCGCGTTGTTGTAGTAGCGTACGAAGACCATCGGTCCGCGAACCTGAAGCTCGCCACTCTCTCCGTCGGGGCGCAGGGTGGCGCCATCTGCGGGGTCAACGATGCGCATCTCGCAACCATTGATGGGTCGCCCGAGATCAAGGAACTCGTGAGCAGGTTCTGTTGCGAGGACATCCACAGGGTCGTATATGCATCCGGCGCTGCAAAAACACCCATTAGTTTATATGCCTATACAATTTAATGAGCCTTACCAAGTTTCTGTCATTCCAAACCCAGCGGAGATCACAAAGGAAGCGGAGTTCTTGCTAAACTTTTTCATCATGGCAGCGAACGCTTGCGCGGTCTTGGAAATAACAGCTTCACCCCCACTGTTAATCCGCTTGATGGAGGATAGGTCGAAGCATCCGAAGAGGTCAGTGCGCTTCTCCAGATCACGCGTGAGCTTGGAGAGCAGGAAATTCGGGGCGAAAGCCAATTCAACTGACTAAGATAGAATGATAAGATACACATTAAGCTATAGCTGAAGTTTAGCATGCCTTTTCATCGATCAGACGGAGCAGTCGAAGGGGATCAGCAAGAATAGCAGATGCGTGCACATGGAGTTGCGAAGCACCATATAACAGAGGTGTGAAGTGCATTTCCAACGATCCCGCGACATGATCAAATCCGACCCCTGAATGTCACGATCAATTTAAGACTGAAATTTAAACTACGTGCGACTTACAGTTCAAGACTCGAGATTCGGAAGTCAGGCCGTAACTTTGCCCCTTGGCATGGCATGCAGCGAGAATTGTGCGGTGCGTGTGCACAACCGCCTTCGAGAATCCAGTAGACCCTGAGGTCAGGAACAGGATCGCCTCGTCGTCTGGCTTAGCCTCGTACCCAACCCAGTCAGCTGAGACGGTAAATGTCTCCGCCGATATTTTTAATTCGGAGAGCAGATGAACCTCCAGACCAGAAATGGTGCTGATCTGCTCAGCCCCGAGCTCGCTGGTCAACCAAGTAGCAGACCCAAACAAGTTCTTGATGTGGGCGACATGGCCCTCCTTGTGCGCCTGTTGCGCGCTAAGCGTGGGTTGCAGGCAGGGCACATAGCCAGCCAGCAGACACGCCCATACAGCAGCCATATTGTCTTCGTGCTCCGTCAGGTACACGACGACGACTGAGCCCGTGGGCTTTCCCCACTCTAGCATGGCACGTGCAAGGTTGCGAACACATTGGTTGAACGCGCTGAAGGTCTTCGTCTGGATGGAGGAGTCATGTGCCGAGGAGGTTATGAAACCAAGTTCGTGCGACGGATAACGGTCGACAGCTTGAGCGATGACGTCGTGGAGGGTATTAGGTTGTAGAGAGACAACAGATGTCTTAAAGGTGGCAGCGAATTCGGTAGCGGTAGTGGGAGAGACTGCGACGGGTGCCATCCCAAGCTGTATCTCAAGTTAAATTCTAAAGCAGTAATACAAAGAAAAGATGTCTAGGACGCTGAGCACTTACCGGTCTTCTTGGAATTACTTATATATGTACACGGGAGGGTGTTGCTAACATACGCCTTGCTCGTACGCAAACGTTCAATTGTGTATCGGAAGAGTCTTCCGCGCGATGCTCAAGAGAGCCCATATGCATAGTGTAGAGTTGGTTTAGAGATTACTACAAAGACGAACTTGTGATATGATGCTCGAGGAGGAGGATCGATCCCAGGTTATGTAATATCTGTTCTCGTATAAAATGATTCCCGATTAGGCCTATACCGTGCTGCTAACCGTTCCGCTAGCCCGTACTTACCGTACCGTCAAAGATTTGTTGTCTGGTTTCGGTACGAGCAGTACCCCTAAGGCCACTGTACATCGTGATTATGGCTACAGTCACCAGCCTTATTCCCGACAACGGAAGTTTGACCGTACAAACAAGGTGACTTCCATGCCAGAAAACACCACCACGTCCGCGTTTGAGGAATGATGTGAGATTCATCCATTCGAATTTCCTCGGTATCGCGCCAATAGGAGGGAGCTAAGACTTGTCCTCCTGTAATTCAACAATGTGCTCCTCCGAACTCTTTCATCTTTGGCGACTTTGTTACTTTACCAAGCAAGCCAAGACCATGTAAGACGGAAGTCCATCCGTCACCAATCTGTGTTCCAGATGTTAATGTTAACTTCACCATGATGTTCCGGAATCCAAACTACTTGTTGAACTTCAATATTTCCGTGGCGTCCTGATATGATTGACCATCTGATGCGTGGCTCGAGAAGATTTTATGATGTGGCGTAAGCATACAGGTCATCAGTTCATGAACGAGAAGCCCGCTCTTTTTTAGAAAAATCCCTTTTATTGTCGCTGTAGGCTTGCCTTACATTGTCGACAGTACATGATTTCGAGTTTGGTGTATAAACAAATGTCCATTGAATTGTACCTCTCCAGGAGTGTGTGCGAAGCTATGATAGTTGTCCGGTCAGCTATCTAGAGACGGTGTGCTTGCGCGGAGGCACTAGACTTGGCACTGCAGCGCCAGCACTGGTACTGAAGCTTGAAGTGGAGTGCGCGGGTTTTGCGTGGGAATTGGACAGGGGTTACTAAGCATGCAGCAGGAAATTGTAACTTGAAGGTCTGACATCAAAGTTTTTCTCTAGGACTCTCTGTGTCTCTGCAATGTAGCGGAAGAGGTGGGGTACTTCTTTGAGTTGTTGAGGAGAAGGCCGCTCTTGTGCTGCTGAGCCACGTACGCACGCAGGCTCGTCATGGACGAAGATAAGGTGCGTCTCTACTCATGAAAATTCTATTGACCTTTTTACTTTCCCGAGATATGTCATGCAGTATGCTAATTTTAAAGCTACGTAGTTGATGCATACTCGGTACGGTGCGTCGAACGTGTAGCTTTAGCTCTTGCCACGAAGTGAAGCTAACATACAGCCAACCAGATGTTCTTCCGGCGGGTGACAGGCCCCAAGTGCCTGTGAAGTAGTATATAACCTTCACCCTTCGACTTGTAAACATGAGTATCGCAAGGGCACATCCGTGAGTCAGATTCCAACTCATCACAACACTGCCATAAACTCAAGTATATTGAGGTCAAGTTGAAGCTGTCACCGCCCACCCGCGCGCTAATGGTGCAGAGCCTATCATCTGCAGACTGCTCCAAGTGGTGACTACTAGGCGCAGCCGATGTATGATAGACTATCTTAAGTACGTACCGTATATGAATTATTGCTCTGACATTGCTAAATACATCGCTTTGGAAAGCCGTCCACTACTTATCCTGTCTCGGCACAGCTCTGCTCCATTTACTCCATCTATGGTCGACTTGTGTCGTTATGAGATATGTGTATGAGTGCTGTATTCCAAAATATCATACACACACGAAATAGGTCGCTACAACCTTTCGGTCCTGAAGCAAGGATAGCTGTCTTATCAGCCTATCATGTCATGGCCAGCCGTTGATCGTATGTAATCCGTATGAGCCGAGGAACGTCCAAGTCTATCATACAGGTGCACAGTAAACCTGAACAACCAGGATTTACTGCAATGGCTTACTACCGTTGTACTGGTGTATTGTCATGATGTGGGGTGTTTGGCAGTGCCTTCTGAAATAAACATGAATTTGAATATGAATATGAATATTTTATTTGACCGTCCTTGCTGATGTAAGCTCCAGTCAGTACAATCAAAGCAACACTGTCCGGCAATAGGTAGGAGGCACTGAAGGATGCAAAATCTATATCAACCCCGATGTTGGCAGAATCAAGACCATATGTATTACTCTAAACAGTGGGCTCACAAGCACCATCATGAAAAAATGCAGAGAATCATTTTTAATATGTACTTTTGTCATAAGACAACGACAGATGTATGGCGACGTAAATAGTCAAGCAATTAGATACGGAACGCATGTACTCCAAGTATAAGTGGTCGAATAGTTACTTGCGAAAGATAGATATAAACATAATACCCCACTCTAAATTTTTACAGCCCACGAGCCTCCAGACGACCGCGGAAGATCTTCTGGAACTGCGGGACGTGGTCAAAGTCCATGAGCGTGTAGTGTTGCCCAGGCACGTCGGTATATGATGGCTCGCCGCGGCTGAACCCAGACCATGGCTTGAGCTGATTGTTCAGCCAGTCTGACTTGCTACCGCGGAGAGGAATGGCGTAGAAAACGTCGACTGCGGCTGAACAGACCCGGTATATCAGCAAGCGATAATGAAGTCAGAAGAGAAATGACATACAAACTGAGCCTGACGGGTTGTAGTCTTTTCCGCACTCGATCAGGGATCCCGCGATGTCCACCCAATGGTCGAGCTTCTCAGGCGTCAGCTGCAGCTCGACCAGACGGTCAGGGGGAGACAGCTTCCACACCACCTCGAGCTGCTCCTTCCTCGTCATCGGTCTCAGAGCAGGAGCGAGATCATTGGCATCATGCTTCGAAACGAGACCGAGGAAGTACGACAAGTTGAGCATCCCGCCTGTCCAGTCGATCTCGTGCATGCGATCGGCGATATGAGGAGGGATGTTGATCAGACCGACGAACTTGACCTCCTCGCCCATGGCCTCGAGCTGCTTGGCAACTTCGAATGCGACCACACCACCATAACTGTAGCCAGCGATGGCGTATGGTCCCGTCGCCTGGGTCCTCTTCACTGCTGCAGCATAGCACGACACCATCTCATCCATGGAAGTGAAGAAGGGGTGGCCGGGCTCGAAGCCACGAGCGCGGAGAGCGTAGAACGGACGTTCATTCTGGAAGTATTTGGCGAGGTTGACGAAAATCAGAACCTCCCCGACACCAGGGTGCACGAAGAAGATGGGCGTCTTGTTTCCGGTCAGCTGCAGGGGAACGATGGGGTCGTACTCCTCAGTCTGACTGTCCTTGGAGAGCAGAGAGTCGACATAGTTCGCGAGGTTCGAGATGACAGGGTGCTTGAGGATTTGGATGGTGGGGATTTCGGGCAGATCGAAATGTGCCTCTCCCTCGCGCTTGAGCCTGGAGATCATATGTATTAGTGAGAGTCATTTTAAGGCGGGACGAATATACTGACCTGATGACATCAATGGAAGTACCGCCGAGTTCGAAGAAGTTGTCGCTCGCCGACATCTCGCTTTCCGCGAGGTTGAAGATGCCAGCATATATCTTCGCAAGCGCCTTCTCCGTCTCGGTGGACGGGGCGACGAACGTGGCGCCTCGTGCCTTGCTGAGAAGCTCCTCGGAGCGCGCGATGTGCTGACCAAGCTGGCCTTGCTTGAACAGACTGATTAGACGCGCACGAGACAGTTTACCCAGTGTGGTCTTCTCCATCTGGTTCACAGGGATTGGGACGATGACCTGAGGCGGCAGGGTGATCATCTTCACACAGATATCCCGAAGGGCCCTGTGCGTGGCAAACAGCTTCGTGGAAGCGTCTGCTCCATCGAGGTCGAAGGTCGGCGAGTAGAAAATGATGAACCCCTCTGTCTCCTGCCCAGGAGCGCGGTACGGAGCTGCGGCGAGGAACGAGTGCGTGACACCTTCCACGGTCTGGAGGTGGGTCTCGAGCTCAGGGATACCATATGAGACGCCATGGACGATGACGGTGTCCTTGATGCGACCGCTAAGGCGCATCGCCCCATTCTCGATGATGCCAACATCGCCGGTGCGATACCAGCCTCCCTCAACAAAGCTGGAGGAAGTAGCCTCCGCGTTGTTGTAGTAGCGTACGAAGACCATTGGTCCGCGAACCTGGAGCTCGCCGCTCTCCCGTCTGGGCGCAGGGTGGCGCCATCTGCGGGGTCAACGATGCGCATCTCGCAACCATTGACAGGTCGCCCGAGATCAAGGAACTCGTGAGCAGGCTCCGTTGCGAGGACATCCACAGGATCGTAAATGCATCCGGCGCTATAAACAAGACCCATTAGTTTATATGCCCATACAATTTAATGAGCCTTACCAAGTTTCTGTCATTCCAAACCCAGCAGAAATGACGAACGACACAGCGGAGGGGTTCTTGCTGAGCTGCTTCATGGTCCCAGCGAACGCTTTCGCGGTCTTGGAAACGACAGCCTCACCACCGCTGTTGATCCGCTTGATGGAGGACAAGTCAAAGTGTCCGAAGAGGTCGGTGCGCTTCTCCAGATCACGCGTGAGCTTGGAGAGCAAGAAGTTCGGGGCGAAAGCCAGTTCAATCGACTAACGATTGAATCATGAGAGAAGCCTCGGGCCATGATTTCATGTTGACATACCTTTTCGTCAATCAGACGGAGCAGCCGAAGAGGGTCAGCAAGGATGGCAGATGCGTGCACGTGGAGTTGCGAAGCGCCATATAGCAGAGGTGTGATGTGCATCTCCAGCGATCCTGCGACGTGATCAAATCCGACCCCTGAATATCATGATTAATTTTAATCATTTGATTTAAACCACCTGCGACTTACAGTTCAAGACTCGAGATTCGGAAGTCAGGCCGTAGCTTTGCCCCTTGGCACGACATGCAGCGAGAATTGTGCGGTGCGTGTGCACAACCGCCTTCGAGAATCCAGTAGACCCTGAGGTCAGGAACAGGATCGCCTCGTCGTCTGGCTTAGCCTCGTACCCAACCCAGTCAGCTGAGACGGTAAATGTCTCCGCCGATATTTTTAATTCGGAGAGCAGATGAACCTCCAGACCAGAAATGGTGCTGATCTGCTCAGCCCCGAGCTCGCTGGTCAACCAAGTAGCAGACCCAAACAAGTTCTTGATGTGGGCGACATGGCCCTCCTTGTGCGCCTGTTGCGCGCTAAGCGTGGGTTGCAGGCAGGGCACATAGCCAGCCAGCAGACACGCCCATACAGCAGCCATATTGTCTTCGTGTTCCGTCAGGTACACGACGACGACTGAGCCCGTGGGCTTTCCCCACTCTAGCATGGCACGTGCAAGGTTGCGAACACATTGGTTGAACGCGCTGAAGGTCTTCGTCTGGATGGAGGAGTCGTGTGCCGAGGAGGTTATGAAACCAAGCTCGTGCGACGGATAACGGTCGACGGCTTGAGCGATGACGTCGTGGAGGGTATTAGGTTGTGGAGAGACAAGGGATGTCTTGAGGTTTGTAAAGAATTCAGTGGTTGTAGTAGCGGTGACTGCGACGGGTGCCATTGCGAGATGTCTAAATTCTGAAACGGTAAGAGGATAGGAAAAGGTGTTTAAGATGTTGAAATTTGAGGTGCCAGCTTCTCTGGAGTTATATACCTAGATGCCAGACAGCAGCAGTGCGGTGAGATTACGGCATCTCGCACTACTAGGTGGTAGTGGTAACTGAGGCCGATGTAGCACACACCGCACAGACCACAGCCTGGTCTATTGCTGCCAAGTGACTGATCAGAGCAACTAATAGTGTGAAATACATACCTGCAACACGTTTGCGTGGGGGCTATGCTGTAGACCTTGCACCGGTAAGGTCACAACTTCCGTACTAATCCATCCGGTCACCATCGTGACTCTGAGTGCACGTCGGATACTAGTCCAAGCGTCGATAATGTGTCGTGTGAAGCATTGCAAATGCTGGTTTGTGAGGGTTGGATTTACTGTTTCCCTATTCCGTGGGTTCAGGATCACCGTGACATACGTGCAATGTGTCCCAAGCTGTGCTTCGGTGATGCATTATCACCGCTTGCCTACTAGGTTTGAGCCGAATTAGCTTAGCATCGTCGTGAAGTCACTGCTTGAGTCCTACTCTACCTTCGGATCACTGATCAGAGTACTGGTGAGCCACAGATATCGTCAGATATAAAATCATATATATAAAGCCTTGTATGACGTCAGAAAACCACCGCAGTCAATGTAAAGCACCCTGGGGAGACTCACGAATCATACCTGATGAGCTCCATGTAGCCAGTGTACCAGAAAACATTGCCCGACGGAGCTCCATGCAGGGCTCACGAACAGGCGTCGGGCTTGAAATTGGTAATTAAAGCTTTCAATTGTCGTCTTGCTAAAGTTCAGGGATCCTGACTCGACGGATCAGGTCAAACGATAATCGATCTTACGTGGAAGACGAAGCGCGTGGATGTTCGTATGTCATATTATAAGGCTCCGCGGATATACACATGGGGACTGCCAAGGATAGAGCGGAATATGCCGCACTCAAATTGTGGGATGGATAGAACCGAGAAGAAAACGAGATCATATGTAAGTAAGAAGAGTAAGGCTTGACCAGTCGATCCTACCGTCACGACCCCAGGAGGAATCGCAATCGAACAGAGACTGACCGCCCGGTGTGTTGGCTTGCCAAGAGATGGGAACAAAAAACCTAGTGACGCACCTTTGCAGCAGTGAGTCAGTGACAAGAAGAACGTAAAACTGTAAGAGGGACTTCAACAGCCTAGGTACCAGGGCTCAGTGTCGGAAAAACCTAAGGACTATTATAATGCCTCAAATTTTAGTTGATGGGCCTTCAAAGTGCCTTAGAAGACCTTACGAGGCTCGAGAGACTACGGATAATTCTATTAAGAAACCCCCCGTGAGAAACAAACCGCATATACCGGAAAATTGGAAATGACCGTCCGCCCCACCCGTCCGTCCTACCCTAAATTTGGCCATCCGGGATGCATCGGGATTTTTCCGAAATTTCTGAATACTGTAGAGTTACGACACTAAATTCGACGTGCATCACACCACACTCTGAATTGAAGCTATTCAATGTGACTGTCACACTGATATTCACAAGATGAAGCTAAAATGTGACATATGGTAAATTTGACGGAAAAAAAAACATAAAGTGCTTCAATGAGACCAAGGTTTTTTTAACTCAATTATCATTTGCTGGACCACGATGAGAACACTATGCATACAAATGAGAAACAACAGACTCGGAATGAACCTATTTTGGATAGGTCACACGTCACATCATGATTTGAAGCTTTGAAGCTAAGGGTAAGATGGTCACAGCTAAACTAGTTGAAGGTAGTGTTGTAACTCTACAGTATACTTTTGGTGTTGCTTTGCTAGTTGTGCATCATGCCCTGCTCATTGCTCATTGTCACTTGGCATTGTTAATGCTAATGGACTTTTTGCTCTACCCTATACTGGAAACAGGCCCTGAGGCAAGGTTAGTTTAATCTTGTGCCTCCTCCATGGTGGCATTCCCTTGCTTACTGCTAGTTTATATGAATTCCTTTGGATGCTGCTCAACTTACAGGCACCCTGGAGCCATCTTTCATGCTGTCCTCAGGCATTCTGGCAGTATGCCCCTGCCCACAGTATGCCCCCACCCTCAGGAATATAAAGGGTCTTGTTTGTCAATATCAACCTGCCACCTTTCACTTCCCTCTCATTGCTCTGCATCTTTGTCTCTGTCTTGTCACTCTCCCAACACTGTTACTCTGTCCAGATGCTTGTGATGCCACACCCTGCAGCTCAGCCCACCACAGGCCCACATCCTACTTATGACATTTCATGCCTAACATGCAATAAACCATGTCCATGGACAGTGTGCAAGTCCAATGAACATGAAAACCATGGCTGCTGGCAAGTGATTGTAAGTTTTCCCTCCATCTCCTTCAATTTCAATATGTGCTGATAAGATACAGTGTTTTAATGTTAATCAGGATGGTATGAAGTGCAACTTTGTGCATTTTGGATCACCATGATCCTCTCCAGCAATTATTGCTCATGCTCATACTTGCCAGCAAACCAGAAGTGCCCACCTACTGGTGCCAAAGCACTATGTGTGCATGGTTGTGGGCTATAGCAGCACCTGTGTCAATAAGAACTGTGCTTGGTCAACTTGCTGCAAACACTGCAGGCACCTGGGTGGCTGCCACCTTTTCAACCACATTGGTGATCTTAATGATGCTGAAGGGTTGGAGCTCAAAGGTGATCATGAACATCCAGACAATCAAGATGCTGTGGCTAGGCCACCATTATGTGACTTTGATGTTAATTGGTCCCATATTCCTGCACTTGCTGAATGCCTGTCACATTCACCAACTCCTACATGATGTATCAGGTGTTGCACCCATTGCTGAAACTTACATTGAGCATCTGCCTGATAACCTACAAGCAATGAAGCTGATGAGGGCTAAAACTGTGCCTGCATGTAATTGCGCCTCCCCAAAGAATGGCCCTCAGTATCATATGCAAATGCCTGAAGTCTTTATAACATAACTAGCAGAAACATCCAAATGTGAGGAAGAACAATGTCAGCACCATACTGATGAGATTGAGGTGCGGAATTGTGCATAGTATTATACAGTTGTGTATTCCTGGGTAAAGGTTTGTTGCTCCTTCTCTACTCTGCAGTAGACTGTTGTGATGAGCTGGACATGAATAAGTCTGAGTGCAGTCACTGTAGTTGTTAAGAACCATGCTCAAAGGAGAGAGAGACTGACTCAGAGGGGCTTGGCCTCAGCTCGTACGCTGTGCCCCTTACCCAAGTATGTGCCCTTCATTTCAGAGGAAGTCCAATGACGGTCCGATGAAGTCTGGAGGACTTCTGGATGCTGGCTACTCTGGTGGAGAGTGCGGGAGGACTTCCGGAGGAGCGCAGGAGAGTTCCAGAGGAATGCAGGAAATGCTCAGGAGAGTTCCCGCTGCAAGGTAATACTTCTACAGGAAAACAGGATGGAAGGATAGGAGGTCCGGAGGACAGGAGGACAAGATGTCCAGAGGTCTGGAGTATGGAGGACAGGAGGTCCAGAGGTATGGAGGACGGAACGTCCGAAGGTATGGAGGGCGGAACATCTGAAGGACAGGATGCCCAGAGGTATGAGGGACAGGACATCCGGAGGTACAGAAGACAGGAGGTCCAGAGGTCCAGAAGGAATAGGGGCTACATCGGACAAAGTCTGATGTAGAAGCAAATGGAGGTAGACTACCCTAAGGTAGAGTTGGAGGGACAGGAAGTGGACCTAAGTCCGGAAAGAGGGTAAGTGCCAGAAAGGCAAGACTCCAGCCTAGGGAGGCAATCCCTAGACTTGGGACAGAGACATAGGGGACAAATCCGAAGGTCCAGAATTCCAGCCTAGGGAATCCTTCCCTAGGCCTTATGGAAAAGGATGAGACTCAGATGGACTGAAGTCTGGAAGATGATTGGCAAGTGGAACAGGATCTAAGATGATATTCAGACTGAGGACTCTACTGTAGTTGTACAGGGGTTATATACTAGAGGCTATCTGAGAGGATCAGTAAGCAAAGGAGTAAGGCTATGTACAAGCATGTGGAAACACATTGGTAAGTAAGACGGAACATAAGTAAATGAACTCAGAGATGAAACTAGTACAAGGATCAATCAGCAAGACAGAAACAAAGATAACCGAGAACCGGAAAGGCGGAGATGCCTAAATGGGGATAGGCGCAGGATCTTGGATGGAGGGTGGGAATAGGTCCAGAGATAGTACAGTTAATATCCGGAGGTCCGAAGATCTGGGGATCCGGAAGGCAGGGCAGAAACAGGACTGAGATATGTGAGGTGGTGGATGTAGTCCAGAATCTGAGAGGAGGTAAAGTCCGGATGTCTTGCTGGACAGAATGTGCATAGGGTGGACAGGATAGGGGATCCAGGAATGAGTTGGATATGGGGTCCAGAAATAGGTTTGGAAAGTGCAGGAATATGATGGGATCTATGTCTGGCATATGGGATATGACAGTAGTTAGTAAACAAACATGAGCCAAAACATTAGTAATATGGTACATGGACTCATTAATAAGTGTACACTGGTACATACAGACTCAGCTACTTAGTAGCAGCACATAGTATATAGACAAGTCTGTGAGAGCAGAACTAGTTAGGGAACAGGAGACTGGAAATATTATCTCACTGAATAACCTACTACCTTGTTGTGACAGTCAAGTTTTCCTTGGGCTTAGATTTACTTACTTTCATTACCTTTACTTACTCCCACTTTCTTTAGCTTATACAAGCATCACCTCTTACCTTCACTCTTTACCTGTAGTCTGAGACTAGCAGTTTTATGATGATTCTTCTCCTCTCTGAGCTCTAAGTCTAGTACAGAAACCCTTGTGAGTTGAATAGCAGCTAGGTACAGCACTTTAGACCCAACATATTGGCTAGATACTTTACCAAGTATCTAGCCAAGTTGTGTTACTCACATCATGTCATAACCTTAAGATAGACACTGATCATCACACTCACAGGATGGTAGTCAGCCCAATATGTTTGAGTTCCAGTTGGTGGAGCAGGGCCAGCAGTCTAAGCCTAGAGCAAGGCAGACAAGCTGCAATGATGATCAATGCTAGCTATGAACATAGCAAAACCTAGTCTACATGCTGACTAAGCTATGAAAAGGGCTGATGGGCCCTTTGGTGCATAGCTCCTACCCTTGGGACCCCTAGTCCATTAGGCACACCATCATTTACTTGGCCCCACTTATCACTAAACCATCAAGTTATATCCCTGATGGGACTAGCTGCTGCTGGTATCAACAAAGGAGTAGATGCTGCCTCCATCATTCATGTATGGAACCATTGATGATGAGAATGGCGAGATGTACAGCCAGGCTATCTGATCACTGTCATCAAAGGCCAGCCTGTCCTCCTCAAGAACCCAAACATAACTCACTGTGTGGATCTTGATAGCTGTATCTAAAGTATCAACAACTCCTCACCTAACCTCTGCTCTCACTTGGCTGATAACCATGCTGAAGTCCATGAGGAGCTGCATCAGCACTATAATTTTTTGCCCACACCTAACAAAGTTGTCTTTCATGCTTATTCACATTCTCAGCCATGTCATACTCAGGATGATATCAAGATAGGCACCTTGCCATCTGAGTTGGAGGTTGAGGCCCTGCTGCTATCAAAGGGCAAAGCCAAACCTCTGTTGGAAGCTTCACCCAGTACTTCTCCTGCTGAACCTTGTTCCAGATGGCCATTCTTATCATATTCAGCTTATTCAATTTCATCTTTTGGGATACCATCTCTACTCCCAAACCTTCTAAACAAAATGTCTGTCATTGCAGTCTATGTAGTCCCATGACCAGTGTGGACTCTTGCCCACCTTGTACTTGCCATAAACTACTTGAACAAGCCACTGCATGCCCTTTGGTAGGATCTTTGACAGCTCATGCAGTCATATCTGAAGCCATGCTCTCTGATCTGATTGATGTGGACAATGATGTCAAGGTCTGGCCAGGCGATTTCTATGCATGCAATATTGCCAAGGGCTTCAGACTTTGTGAGACAATCAGCAAGCATTGCCAAGGTGTTGCTGCTGTGTTTCAGAAGATATTTAGGGTCTCTTATGCTAGCACAACATTTCATGCTCACAAGAAGCATTGGGCAGATGTGCCTGCCAAGGTTATGGATAGGTTTATCAAGGCTGGGCAAACAGAAGATGGTTTATGGTTGAAGTTCATGACAGAGACCTGGTCCTGAGTTCCTTGAAGGTATTGTCATTCATCTCATATTCTGTTTCTCATTATTAGCAGGATTTGTCTTAGTTTGTCTCATTTCAATTAAATCATACATCTCTCACATCTCTTGGTTTGTCTTGTTATTGTGCTACAAAGATGAGGATAAGGACTGAAGGAAGAGAAGTTCATGCTGCTATGTTAAGAGTAAGGATTGAAGAAAGGGAAATCTATGCTGCTACACTGCAGGTAAGGACTGAAGAAAAGGAAGTCCATGCTGTTACACTGCAAAGACAAGGCAGAACTCTCAATGCAAAAGGTAATTGCATTAACAAAGAAAATATATACCTTACAGTACTATAGGTGTAGCTAACTCAGATGCCAAGTGAACTCAACCTCATCCAAACTGAAAGTTTCTTGCCTATCTTCTCCAATCTTTTCAAGGTCTCCTGATTCCTGCATAAGATCATCTTGTCAAGGAAGAATTCAAACTTGACTGGCTTCATGCCTTGTGTGATGGAATTGAATTTACCAAACTAGGAATTGATTTGCTCACAAGCTGAAGAGTTGAAATACCACTCCCTGCCATCTGTCTTGAGCTCCAGAAATGCAGTGTGGTTGCAGTTCTCTTGACAGAATGTGTCTTGCTTTGAATGTTTGCACTTGAAGTGGAAGACATCAACAGAAAGGCCAATGTCTTGAAAGAATGGGTTATTCTGGATGTGCAGCGCAATTCAGCAGTTGTTATTGAAGAACACATGTGTTGGGCATGTCTCTGGGTCCTGGAAGGCATGACAAATAAATTCAGCAATACTCCCTACTCCCTCAGCATTGTGCATAGTCTCACAAGCATGAATATTCCACAAGGCACAACAATTAACTCCTCACAATAAGTATAGTTGTGGGTGAACTATGCACAAAGCCTCTTCTTCTTTTCCAATTTCACATTGTACTCCTCCTCTCTGATGGCTTGTGTTCTGTCATCATTGTCTCTGTCATCATCAGCTGCAGCCTGGACATTTGCAAGATACCTATGGATAGCCCATGAATGTTCAAGGTATTCATGCAGACAGAATCAAGACTTGCCCTGCAGAGTGTGCAGTGCTTCAGACTTCTGGTATGCAGGGATATCACATATGAGGCTATCTAATGTGATAGATCATGCATCACCTTTAATGGCACATTGATTGAGGTGGGCAGAGTGGACATGACAAAAGTGGTTTTGTGTGGTATGGAGATGGACCCAGCAGTTAGGGACAGAGCAGCATGGATGGCTCATAATGATGCCATTTACCACAATGACAGAAACCAGTTTGTTGACTGTAAAAACATGAGCACAGAACAACACTACAAGAAGCATATATACCAGTATCACTATGATCATAAATACAGGTACACTTAGTACAAAAGTACCAATGAGCAAGCAGTTGGTTATAGATCCACATGTGTCTGTTCCTGTCTGACATTGCCTCTATGAAGTGCTTGTTCTGGTTGATGGTCTGACTGACATTGAGGAGACAATGGTATTCACAGCAATCTTCAAGCAGTGTACAGATAACAAAAGTGTTCCAAATGTGGTCCATTGTTACATCCTTGGTGAACCATTTTGTGCCCAGGAACTGCATGGACTCTGCATTCATGAGTGCAATATTATAGATATGTGCACAGTTGGTTGCTGAGGTGCTAAGTATATGATTAGCAGGGACAGGCTCAAAATATACAGATACTACAGATGTTAAGGTCACATGCTCAAGGGGGTCAGATCACAAGGGCTTGGCCTCAGCTTGTACGCTGTGCCCCTTTCCTGAGTATGCACCCTTAATTTCTGGGGGCTAGAACAGTTGTCTGGAGTTTCTGGGATTTGACTAGGGAAGATAACAGATGTCCAGATCTGAAATGTGAGATAAATCCGACAGATGTCCGGATGTTACCTGGGCAAGCAGATAAGACTAATCCAGATGAAGTCCAGACTAGAAACTAACAGAGGATGGACTGCCTTTAAGGTAGAGTTGGAAATGTAGTCTAGGATGCAATCCTAAGACTTGGAATATGACAAGAGACTTATCTCAAGTCTGGAGGACACAGGAATGAGCAGGAACTAAGATGATATTCGAACTGGAGTATTTCTGAGAGTTACAGGAGGTTTATATACTGTAGGTATCATATAGGAATCAGTCAGCAAATATAAAGGCTATGTATAAAGCATATGCAGAGTCTATTAGTAAGTAGGATGGATCACAAATAATGAACACTGGAAATGAAATGTATGTAATGGACCAATAATCAAAAGGGAAACATGGTTAACCAGAGTCCAGAGACAGGGGCAGTCTAAATGGGGTTGGGCGCTGATATAGGGTTTGGATTCTGGAAGGGAGATAAAGATAGATCAGATCATTTGAGATCCAGATCTTGGATCCAGATATCTGGAGAAGCAGATTTAGAGTTGAGAGTCCAGAATGGCATATGACAACAGACCAGGGAGTATACATTATAACTTTCCATAACTTCACTACCTAATACTCAACAATGTAGTGATCAGCAATCTACACAATGTCTGGCAGTGCAGTGGTATAATCATAGTAAATATGTCAGTTACCAACAACCTTGTAGTTCACATGATAAGCCATCTTACAGGCTGAGGGGAATTTAGTGGTCATATTGAGCCATGTTGTCAGATAGACATAGCACTTACATCCACAATACAGTTGAACATGGTAAGCAGGGACCATACTGGAATAGGACCACCTTATGCTATTCAGCCTTGCTGAGCAACAGGCCTTTTTGTGTGCTCTTGCAGGTAGAGTTGGGACACATCTTGAATGGTAGATAGAATGTGCATTGTGCTATCAAAATAATTCATTCAGCTTCATGGATGCATGTCAACGAACACTTACTAAGGCCATGAGGGTGTCCATGTATCTCAAATAAGTCTTTCATCTTCTTGTGAATGGTAAAATTGCCAGCCCAGACACTACTCTTTAGGACATCCCAACACATCTTCATGGATGCTGGTGACAATTTGCAGGCAGCACTGAGAAAAGCAACAATGCTAGGAGGAAGAAATAAGGGTGGCTTGCATATGTGGTATGTAGCTGGCTGCATAAGAATGATATTGTCTTTGAGGCTTGTTGCTAATGAGGCAAACACAAATGTAACCTCTAAACTTAAGCCAGGGATACTTGCAAGACAATCAGAGGCACATTTCAATGTGATCATTGTTTGCCAGATGGGACAGAATGTCCAAACTTTCAGGTTCCCTCACCAAACCCTAACAAGAGCTTATTCAGAAACCTTTGCTTATCTCTGTTAGCCACCACCACCAGAATGCACACAAATCCAACTGTTCATCTCTCACCAGTGTCACCACCCATGTCTAAACCCTAAAAGCATGGCCATGGCCATCAAAAGGTTCCAAGAACCAGCCTGGAGTGAAGAACATTGGACAGCACCACAAGAATGAGCAGCCAGCCTAGGAACACCAAGTATAAAAGTACTTACATGCAGTGCATCATTTTCAGCATCTCTGCTCCCATCTTCAGCTGACTTTATCCAGCCCACTCCCTTCTCTTGCTGCCAGCTTGCTTGATGCACAATCTGACCTAACAAGCCACTAAACTCCCAGATCAACCTCCCACACTTTATTGCCTATGCCCTTCACTTCACTAAGCTGCATTTGTCTGTCACCTTTGCCTTCAATCTTCCACTCATCATACCAACTCCTTCTACAGCCATGAGCAGGCTTCATGGTTGTGCATCCACTTCATTACTCATCTCTTTACCTGTCCTGAATACCATCCTTCCCCTTCAAACTCCTAGGTCAAACTCCCACACTTTATTACCTATGACCTCCACTGTACTGAGCTGCATTCATTTGTCACCTTTGCCACTCTTGTCCTTTTCCAAATTGAAGAGAATTTATCTAAACTCTCAAATTAAACTAGTAGATTCCTTGGGACATGACTGGGACATGTAAGCCAATAGACTATAATTCCATCTATACATGTGATGTCAAACTTGAGTGCACTACCTTGTTGGCTACCAGTTGCTCAGTACTCACTGGCCAGTGACCATTACCAAGAAACCCTTTATGTTTTGACATTGTACATGGGTTTGGATTACTCAACAAACCTGGGGTTTGTTTCTCACAGGGGGTTTCTTAATAGAATTATCCAGAGACTACTAGCTTTGGCCCAGAGTTGCAAATCACAATGTAGCACACTCATCTTCCGCTTATTTCCTTAGCACAATGATTCTAGAGGGTGATTAGCACATAGCTTGCTGTATGTATTTTTTATTTCATGAAAAACAGGCTGGAAGTACTTGCAGCAGCAAAATACTGTGCAGAACATGTACTTTCCATGCTAATCCATTAGAGGGAAGCCATCATATGCACTGAAAAATTCAGGAATTTTACTAGTGATTTCACATTGCCTTCTAACACTCCTTTAATTTTTTCTGACATAAAAACTGTGTTGTGTTGAGAGCCATAGATGTTGTACTATTGAGATGCAAAGTATGACAGGAGGAATGAGCTTGTGTTTGGAGTTGCAAAGTGCTGCTCAGCAACTTGGCTAACACCTGTACATGCACTCACTCATCTGTGAAGTTAAGCTCTCAGTCTTGCAGTGCTGGTCACATGCCCAAGAGAAACCAACCCACCAAGTTTTCTCAAGAACTCAAGGATAACATTCAACATGCCTGCACTATTCTACATGCTTCTTCTTCTCCTAACATTTGTGTCATTGCAACAGAGCACACTTTTTAGGCCTTTTGCCAGCTGCTCTCACACTGGACAAAAACAGACCTTCTACAAAGGCCCTTCTAATGAAACTGATCAGAATGTCCCCCCCACACACCCTTGTCTCAATATCACTCCTTCCATTACTACTTCATCACATGCAGGACCATCCTGTGAAGTGCCATTTGCTTCATCCTCTCGCAGTATTCTCCCAAGCATACCTCCCACTTACTCTTCCCCCTACCATACTAACACATTTAATCCATACTTAGATAATCATCATATACCTCCAGTTCTAGTGCACATTATTTTTCAGCTTACCCAACCACTGCTAGTCAACACCAGTCACCCTCTCTATAATCTTTCCTGCAGCATATTTATACATTATATCTGTCGAGTTGATACCTTACAGTCCATAAGCATACTTGCACATTCAAAATACAAGCCTCAATGCTGTACAAAGCCTTTTGAATCTCTAACAATACTTATCAAACACCCTGGTTTCATTTGTCAGAGAGTTAAACAGCAGCATGACACAGTGTGACAGGATGACTTCTATGTGGGTGAGAAATTTTGCAACTCTGTGCTCAAACACTGTTTTGCACCAGCTTCTCTCTGGCAATGTAGGCTGGACAGATTTCTTTATTTTAATGTTGTGTAGTTGTTGTGTTATGAAAAACTGGTCAGAACATTTTGCAACTCTGGACAAGTGATAGTACTACTTTGGTTCCACAGCAGGCTAGCATCTGTCAATTAACTCAGGGCCCTTACAGATGCCTTATATTATACATAATGTCCATTAAGGCTCTGTACAGACACCAAAATTAAATAAAAATAAAATAAACAGAAATCATGTGACACTATCACATGACCCACTGGGAGATCCTGGATAAACTACTAATCAATCAAAGTATCATCAAAGCATCCTGCTTGTTATCCTACCTACCACCATGTCTGATCATGAGTCCCAAGGCTCTATTTGCTCTCTCAGTTCTCAAGGCAATATTGACATGCCACTACCAGCAGTCACACCAAGGACATCCACATAGTGGAAGGAGTACAAAGAGATGCTCCTACTCAACTTCCTCTCCAATCACATTTCCACCACTTGGGATGGCCTGAACTTCACCAAAACAACACTCACCAAAGCTGCTGAATATATCAACTCTCATGGCACTCCAGAACAGAAGCAGACTTGCACTGACAAGAGTGTGGAGTCCTGCAAAAATAAATGGAATACCTTCAAGTCCTCATATACTCAAGTTGTTTGCATCAAGAATGGTTCAGGGCTTACATGGAGTGATAAGGACAGTGCAGGCATATCACCTGAGACCCAGCATGTGTGGAATGATCTTGTTAAGGTGAGTACTCCCAACCAGCACTCTCATATCCTACTAACTTTTTTCAATGCAAGGCCAATCCTAGCATTGCCCCCTTTTGTAACAAAGGCTTCATCCACTTCATGAAAATTGAGAGCATGTAGGGCAGCAGCAAGGGGGCCAAAGGCAAAGGTGCCCATGTTCACCAAAGGAAGAAAAAACCTGCCTCTTCAGCCATTCCTTCCTCCAGTGGTTCCATGCTTCCTCCACCACCTCCCAGTGCATCCCCCATGAATCTCAATTCACTCAACACTGCCACAAACAATATTGATATCATGACCCCTTTCAGCAGCCAACCATCTTCTCCCTCCCTCAATTCCTTTATTGCCTCCACCAACCCTGAGTTGGTGTTGACTAGTGCCAGCCACAGCAAGCACAAATTTAGTGTGCTTGGTAGTGCTGAGGGGTTGCAGAAGAAGCAGTGGGCTCCATCTACAAGTGTGCAGGCCCAACAAGATGGCAGCACTGCACTAACATTGCTTGCAAGCGCTGTTGAAGGTTTGACCAAGACTTTTGCTGAGACCTCCACCTTGCCCCCCTGGATATGTCTTATCAGTCAAGTCACAGTCACAGGCCCCCCTCTCTTCACTAGCTAAAGCCACTGACCTTATCTGCCAGCTCCCTGACTTATCACAGGACAACAAGTTAGACATTCTCAATCACATGTTGCACCACAAATACAAAGCAGAAATGTACATATACATGACTGATGCATCACTCAGGGCTGGCTTCTTGAGAAGAATGCTCCAAGAGATTCACAAGGGTAGAAATGAGATGTCTGTTGATCATTGATTCCAGAAAGTGCATAGTAGTTCCCAGCCTAGATCACTTTGTTTTTCTAACCAATCAATACATGTTTCATTAGCGCTATTGATTCATTGGCATTGTACAGTTACTATACTGTAAAGATTTTATTAACCAGGTACAGGAAGGCCACAATGTACATGATCAGCACAATAATCCTCTCACATTGCATTGGCAATCTCATCTCAACATTGCTCTGCTCTTTGCCACTCTGCTTGGCCAACAGGGCCTTCAGCCAGCTCTCCAAGACCATCATCACCATCACCAGCAAAGAGATCCTCATCATATTCATCATCAAATATAGAGGGTTCATATCTATGAATGAAATTGTGCAGAGCACACAGCATCAAAGGTATACACACTTGAACATTCATGTTATACTCAGGCAGTAATTGTAAGATGTGCCATTGGTGCTTCAAAATGCCAAAAATATGCTTGACTATGTTGCACAAACAGGTGTGCCAATGGTTAACAGTTCTTTGGGGGTTTTGGGCCTACATAAGCTTGTCAGATATATTGAACTACATGGAGATAAAAATTGACTTATGCAACATTTGCTTGATGCCATTCCTTGAGGTGATAGCAGACGTTGTGATATGGGACCAACAGTGTGTTAGATGACCCAAAGCTGGCATCTGCAAGGAAGTAAGCCCCTTCAGGCATCTGCAGGTCATGTTGCTGTGCATCATGCCAGAGCAAAGCATCAGCAACTGATCCATCCCACCTGCAAAGTGAATAAATAAATAAGAAGTCAAAGTCGCATATGAAAAGGCAGTTTTGAGATAGGTATCCCTTCCTGTTTTGCATGGTATCATGGTCTTCTTGTGCAGAGAACATGTGAATGCAAGTGCCATCAACTGCACCAATACAGTCTTGGAAGTAGTGGTACCATGGACCATTGCAGATGGTGTTAGAGATGGGCATGTCCTGTGTAGGAAGCCAAACCTGGGCATTATAGAATGTAGCTTCTGAAAAAAAGGCAAGCAAGATCTAACAAGAGTTCAGACAATCAAAAAGACAGGAAATACTAGATTACTTACCTTGAAATAGTATCTGAAGAATGCTGGAATCATTCACCAAGATGATGGGTTGAGAGTCCTGTCACACAGGCATATAAAAATATGCCTAGTTGCTCCTCCACTTTTACACCATTGTGAGACTGATTGAACCTGTTGGCTTCAAGGACTTTGACCAGTGCCTTGAAAATCTCCAAGCTGACACCGAGGTTGTGCCTTATGCAATCTGGGTGGCCTGTGAGGAGCTCACAGACCCATGCATGGCCAGTTAGCACTGAAGTGTGGTATGGGATGTGGGAAGTGGGAAGTGGGAGATAAGAAGATCAAATGATACATATATACCATTTGGGAGACAATACAGGTTACAATTATTACCAAATGACAACAGCAAACCTCCTTGCACTTCCAGAGAGCAAGAGCAGCTTGCTGGTTAGGGTACATGGCATTGATGCTTATCACTGCACCTTTGATACATATTGCTGGGCCTTTGATAAGGTAGGGCTCATACAAAACCAACCAACCATGACCTACTATGACCTAATGTGACTATGCTAATTGGCAGCTGGTGGACAGTGTCATGGCAGTGTTCTATGTTTGGCCTGAAGTATGTTACATGCATGTACAACATCAAAAACTTCCACTACATCTACTTTATCACAATTATATGTGAACTGTGCCAAACAGCTTTCTCAATGATCCACAGGAGTCTGTTTTTTTTCTTTTTTGTGAATCTCTTGAGCCTTTGTCCTTTCTGTAGTTTTGTCACACTTTGTATACTTTGTCACATGATGTTGGTCGGTTTTGTACGAGCCCTACCTTAACCCTTGATATCCGGGATCTCCCAGCAGGTCATGTGATGGCGTCACATGATTTCCGTTTTATTTTTATTCTTATTTTTATTTCAATTTTTGGTGTCCGTACAGAGCCTTAGTAAGATATTATCGTACCCCATCATGACATGCGCTAATTGCAAGTTGGCCCTTGCTAGGCTTGGAATGTATCACATGGAATTGTAAGGCCAGAAACTTTTTTCCGACATCACGAACATCAATGGCAATTCGTCAGTAGCACATGATACATGATCAAGCTAAGTACACGAAGTGCTGTGTGCATCGTGGCGAATCCACCACGTGGGCGGAGTCTCCGACTCCGACAATTTTGTCGGCACTGTGGGAACCCTTTGGAAAAACTTAGTCTTAGATACAGTTGATGCAATGCCGTGCACATGGTGATGGATCCATTAAATCTGTGGTAACCCGTATCGTCTCTACGCGTACAGCGAAGAAACTTGTGTACGTCTTCTCGGTTTCTCTCGGTATCCTTATTCTATTGACGAACTTCATATTCAGAATGTCTGTGTTTCTCTCAAAAAATCCCAGCGCATCTTCTCGAGTCCTCGATGCTACCGATTGCCCGCCTCACAACATCCTTCACGATATGCAAACATGTCCTCTAGTCCATAATGCTTTGTACTACCCGCAATGTCATGAATTTATATACGCGACAGCCGTGGTTGGTTGCAACAATCACTTGCCTTCCAAGACCCACAGTAATAGCTTGTGTCTTAGATGTGGTCCCCTTTATCGATCTGTCATTGTAGTTTTTGATGGGGTATGTCTGTCTGTTCATGTAGGTGATATTTCAACGGCCCCCACTCGCGCGCATTTCGAGTCCATTGCATAGGCGGCACCTATGTGCACGGTAGCGTATTCAAACGCTTTAAGAATTATCAAGAAATCGCTCAACAAGGTACTCTCCTCCCAGCTGCTGCCTCGTGCATTGCGTCCAAACTAAAAGATGATCCTCGATGGTTTCCTTACGCAGATACTTGCTATGCAGAGAATTTGTCTGCTTTGTCCACACCTAACAGGTTGTGCGTGATGTTGCACTGCCAGTTGGAACTAAACGGTCATGTGTGATCACCGACTTAGACTCGGAGATGAGCGCTAGCCCCGAACTCCAAGTAAGCAGTGAAGGTACTGAATGGTGAAGTGCATGGATGATTTGAGGTTGGGATGGCTCGTGTGAGCGCACATTGGTTCGAATCATCTATATATCCTGGTCATACGTACCTGAGGACATCCCTGGACCTATTAGATTTCAAACGCATCAATCCCGGTCGTAGCAAGGTATTTGATATGGCTCCAGTTTGCACTAGTACTGACTTGTAGTTTTCTTGACAGTACTAGCCTGAGTGCTGTGCTGTGTTGTCACGGTACAGATTTCAAAATAGATCATTCTCGCATCTGTGAGTGAATCTTCTACGATCACTTTGAAGAATCCTCTATTAGACCTGTAGTACCAGAGTATTGGTAGAAGAGGCGACAGGCAATACCTGGTGAGTATGCATCCATACCTTTCTACAATTAACAGGATATGGTATTAATACGCTCGCTAGGGTGACAGGACAATAGTATGCCTACACTCAAACTCCATAGAGAGTACTGTGTATTTCGTTTTTCGCCGCTTTGGAAATTCTAACCATAGAGCACACACTAATTAATGCAGATTATGGTCGCAGCCCATCAAAAGCCCTGTGATCGTATGCCTCCGTGACTCTATTGATCACAATAGATCCCGAACGCCACGGGGACTGCTAATTTTTTATGTGGTTTTTTTTTGAAAAAAAAGAAACAACAAATAAATAAAAATTTCGAAACCTGATATCATGCCTGCGTAATACTTGGCACTCGGCGTTCAGGGGTCCGCGCTCATTTGAAGTGACGAAGTTCCTCTAAAGTCCACCGACTCTATCATAATTTCATCTAGGAACTGCCCTCGGTTGTTTGGGCTGAGGTTCGCCTACTATCTATTTCGTTTTATGGAAAACAATACGATCTAGCAGAACCTGACTCGATCATCAGCGCCACCTATCCGCTGAACAGGGGCGATACACTTCGCTTTATACGATGCTGGGCCTCTGCGGGAAGTCATTATTGACGTTGGCATCTTCTGTTGCCAATGACGTGGTACATACTGCTGACCTTGCTCCGCACGGTAATTTACCCCTCGCCAATCCATATAAGATTTTGTACTTCACTGATCGCAATATGCATCGACGATTCTCCAGCCCAGCATAACATAGATACTCATGCACTCTCTTGTGTGTCCAATACGATCGCTTGCACCTATCTTTTCTGCGAGATAGACGTACTAGTCATGGCTAGCTGGCTTTCTAGCAAGGTGCCTTATCTCCTACACAATAACCACACCACTGAAGTCAAAATCAATCCTTGCGTTTTCAGCTAAGTTTTGTACAGAGTGGGTAAGCGACCTTTCTTTGAAACTCGAATGATCCATAATTTACGCCATTTGCATAGCAAAGAAGGATCAATTGTCACTCCTTCGATATGATCTGGCTAGCGGAGGCTACGTCATTCATAGAAAGTACCCCTGCATCGGTAAGCTAAACGTCAACAAAGTACCAGTCTAACCTATATTCATGTATACAGCCTCGTTTGCTCCCCATTAATGCATTTGCATGACCCAGTGACTAATTCCTCTTGGCTACACCCTTCTTCGAAGGGCGCCTTGACCCCGACTGTTATCTACCAAAATTGTTTATGTGCCTGTCAAGGCTTATCGCGAACTCCGCGTACGAGTTGTTTGGGGTTTGGCCACCGTTGGCGGTGGAGCTGGAGTAGTTGCTGACATCCGTACTGAGGACGATCAAGGATACCCGAGCTCTGGAGATAACAGTCGTCATAGGTCCATTGCTTGATAGATCCCTGCTCCACGGAGAATGGCGAATCGTCTCAAATGTAATGGAAAGCCCTTGCCAATTTGCTCGTGGGACGATAGTATCGAGAATATAGAGGGTGCAGCGCTGCATAGACGGGGTCGTTGGTGGTGTTTCAAATTTGTGATAAGGTGTCTCATAGTCGCAATCCAACCAGCGAACAACATCAATATACCAATATATGGGACGGAATGGTTGCCATTACTTGAATTACGGCCATTGCCGCCAGACACGGCTTACAAGCAGCAATTCAGGCCTGAGGCTTGGTAATTTCGGATGGTAGACGCTTATGTGACGCCTATACATGTACACCACTGCTTCGGAAGGAAGATGACAGGGTCCACAGTGGCTGCATATAGTTATCAGATCAAACTTGAATCGAGTGGACCTCACGGAGTCGATAGTAATACTTGGCAGATTTCTCTGCAGAACTAGAGACCATATGAGTCACAGATGAGTCCAACAAACAAATCAGTCATGTAAGATCTCGCTGAAGCATATGATAACACGACGCCTTGCTGTTTTTGAAGATGCTATCGGATTTGCAGCACAGAGATGCCAAAGTGCTAAAAATGACGACATGTTGTAAGCTCTGTCTCATACATGTGAGATACCATCGAGCACTAATTCTGTTCACCTTGCTATTAATCGCATTGAGAGATGGCGCTCTTGCGCTAGAAACACAAGATTCGACAGAAGTACCCCTAGGTTATCTGATAAACAAAACGCAGGATTTTCATTAGAACCACGTCAATAAAAACAGGATAATGGACTAAAGGAGAGCACCCAGGCCTACCAAGTAAATGTGGAAATGTGAACGACATGAGAGTCACAACTTGAACTTACACGAGTCTCGACATGGCAGATCTCTTCATGACCTGTACCTCAAAACTTCCTCCCTTGCATCTAGCACACATTTAGGACTTGTCTGAGAGTAAACATGCTTACTCTCAAAAAATGAGATGTATCAGCTGACCGCGGAACTTCGTGTCATCGGACTGCAATTTCTCGGCGGAAAGTAAATTTGAGGACCTGACCTTCATAATGGCGTTCTATTCATATAACTATTTGACCCTGAGGGAAGGATATCATCTCGTTCAGCCAGTCTTACAATTGAATGTCATTGCCTGCCTGTTGGTTTTTTTGCATCTAATGTCCAAGTCTATAAGGGTGCGACAGTAAACTTGAATCTGAGACCATCCATTCACCGAGCAAATAGGTTGTGATGCTGTTCGAGGATCGGGTCGTGATGATGTATGCACCGCACCCAATTTGTTTGGCAACGCCTTCTGAAACAAATAATGCCTGACAGCACGTGACGATGCGCTAGCGGCGTGCTAACTTAGAGACCGGGACACTTATGTCCTATTCAGCAGCGTGCGGCATATCACCCGAAATGGACAGAATGTTCTTTTTCAAAAAAAAAGAAAAAGAAAAGGCACTTACTCCCGAAGAATCCAGGACAACCTCAGCGTTCATGATGTTAATCGAACCAAACAAATGATGAACTTCGACTCTTTTTATGAGACAATAATCTAAGTACATTAGTCGAACAAATTAAGTATGGGACACGTGTACTGCGAGTGTAGTTGAATAGATACTTGCAAAAGACAGATATAAACATGAAATCCCACTCTAAATTTTTACAGCCCACGAGCCTCCAGACGACCACGGAAGATCTTCTGGAACTGCGGGACGTGGTCAAAGTCCATGAGCGTGTAGTGTTGCCCAGGCACGTCGGTATATGATGGCTCGCCGCGGCTGAACCCAGACCATGGCTTGAGCTGATTGTTCAGCCAGTCTGACTTGCTACCGCGGAGAGGAATGGCGTAGAAAACGTCGACTGCGGCTGAACAGACCCGGTATATCAGCAAGCGATAATGAAGTCAGAAGAGAAATGACATACAAACTGAGCCTGACGGGTTGTAGTCTTTTCCGCACTCGATCAGGGATCCCGCGATGTCCACCCAATGGTCGAGCTTCTCAGGCGTCAGCTGCAGCTCGACCAGACGGTCAGGGGGAGACAGCTTCCACACCACCTCGAGCTGCTCCTTCCTCGTCATCGGTCTCAGAGCAGGAGCGAGATCATTGGCATCATGCTTCGAAACGAGACCGAGGAAGTACGACAAGTTGAGCATCCCGCCTGTCCAGTCGATCTCGTGCATGCGGTCGGCGATATGAGGAGGGATGTTGATCAGACCGACGAACTTGACCTCCTCGCCCATGGCCTCGAGCCGCTTGGCAACTTCGAATGCGACCACACCACCGTAACTGTAGCCAGCGATGGCGTATGGTCCCGTCGCCTGGGTCCTCTTCACTGCTGCAGCATAGCACGACACCATCTCATCCATGGAAGTGAAGAAGGGGTGGCCGGGCTCGAAACCACGAGCGCGGAGAGCGTAGAACGGACGCTCATTCTGGAAGTATTTCGCGAGGTTGACGAAAATCAGAACCTCCCCGACACCAGGGTGCACGAAGAAGATGGGCGTCTTGTTTCCGGTCAGCTGGAGGGGAACGATGGGGTCGTACTCCTCAGTCTGACTGTCCTTGGAGAGCAGAGAGTCGACATAGTTTGCGAGGCTCGAGATGACAGGGTGCTTGAGGATTTGGATGGTGGGGATTTCGGGCAGATCGAAATGTGCCTCTCCCTCGCGCTTGAGCCTGGAGATCATATGTATTAGTGAGAGTCATTTTAAGGCGGGACGAATATACTGACCTGATGACATCAATGGAAGTACCACCGAGTTCGAAGAAGTTATCGCTCGCCGACATCTCGCTTTCCGCGAGGTTGAAGATGCCAGCATATATCTTCGCAAGCGCCTTCTCCGTCTCGGTGGACGGGGCGACGAACGTGGCGCCTCGTGCCTTGCTGAGAAGCTCCTCGGAGCGCGCGATGTGCTGACCAAGCTGGCCTTGCTTGAACAGACTGATCAGACGCGCACGAGACAGTTTACCCAGTGTGGTCTTCTCCATCTGGTTCACAGGGATAGGGACGATGACCTGAGGCGGCAGGGTGATCATCTTCACACAGATATCCCGAAGGGCCCTGTGCATGGCAAACAGCTTCGTGGAAGCGTCTGCTCCATCGAGGTCGAAGGTCGGCGAGTAGAAAATGATGAACCCCTCTGTCTCCTGCCCAGGAGCGCGGTACGGAGCTGCGGCGAGGAACGAGTGCGTGACACCTTCCACGGTCTGGAGGTGGGTCTCGAGCTCAGGGATACCATATGAGACGCCATGGACGATGACGGTGTCCTTGATGCGACCGCTAAGGCGCATCACCCCATTCTCGATGATGCCAACATCGCCGGTGCGATACCAGCCTCCCTCAACGAAGCTGGAGGAAGTAGCCTCCGCGTTGTTGTAGTAGCGTACAAAAACCATTGGTCCGCGAACCTGGAGCTCGCCGCTCTCCCCGTCTGTGCGCAGGGTGGAGCCATCTGCGGGGTCAACGATGCGCATCTCACAACCATTGATGGGTCGCCCGAGATCAAGGAACTCGTGAGCAGGCTCCGTTGCGAGGACATCCACAGGATCGTAAATGCATCCGGCGCTGTAAACAAGACCCATTAGTTTATATACCCATATAATTTAATAAGCCTTACCAAGTTTCTGTCATTCCAAACCCAGCAGAAATGACGAACGACACAGCGGAGGGGTTCTTGCTGAGCTGCTTCATGGTCCCAGCGAACGCTTTCGCGGTCTTGGAAACGACAGCCTCACCACCGCTGTTGATCCGCTTGATGGAGGACAAGTCAAAGTGTCCGAAGAGGTCGGTGCGCTTCTCCAGATCACGCGTGAGCTTGGAGAGCAAGAAGTTCGGGGCGAAAGCCAGTTCAATCGACTAACAATTTAATCATGAGAGAAGCCTCGGGCCATGATTTCATGTTGACATACCTTTTCGTCAATCAGACGGAGCAGCCGAAGAGGATCAGCAAGGATAGCGGATGCATGCACGTGGAGTTGCGAAGCGCCATATAGCAGAGGTGTGATGTGCATCTCCAACGATCCTGCGACGTGATCAAATCCGACCCCTGAATATCATGATTAATTTTAATCATTCGATTTAAACCACCTGCGACTTACAGTTCAAGACTCGAGATTCGGAAGTCAGGCCGTAGCTTTGCCCCTTGGCACGGCATGCCGCCAGAATCGTGCGGTGCGTGTGCACGACCGCCTTCGAGAATCCAGTAGACCCTGAGGTCAGGAACAGGATCGCCTCGTCGTCTGGCTTAGCCTCATACGCGACCCAGTCAGCTGAGACGGTAAATGTCTCCGCCGACGCCTTTAATTCTGAGAGCAAGTGAACCTCCAGACCAGAAATGGTGTTGATCTGCTCAGCCCCAATCTCGTTGGTCAACCAAGTAGCAGACCCGAACAAGTTCTTGATGTGGGCGACATGGCCCTCCTTATGGGCCTGTTGCGCGCTAAGCGCGGGTTGCAAGCAGGGAACATAGCCTGCCAGCAGACACGCCCATACAGCAGCCATATTGTCTTCGTGCTCCGTCAGGTACACGACGACGACTGAGCCTGTGGGCTTTCCCCACTCTAGCATGGCACGTGCAAGGTTGCGAACACATTGGTTGAACGCGCTGAAGGTCTTCGTCTGGATGGAGGAGTCGTGTGCCGAGGAGGTTATGAAACCAAGCTCGTGCGACGGATAACGGTCGACAGCTTGAGCGATGGCGTCGTGGAGGGTATTAGGTTGAGGAGAGACAAGGGATGTCTTGAGGTTTGCAAGGAATTCAGTGGTTGTAGTAGCGGTGACTGCGACGGGTGCCATTGCGAGATGTCTAAATTCTAAAATGATAGGAGGATAAGAAAAGGTGTCTAAGATATTTGGTGCGGATCTCCTTGGAGGTCCGAGCTTATATACTATGAAGTCGGGACTCACAATGGAGCAGCACTGCCTGAGTGAGCTTACGCAATAATGATAATGTACTAGCAAAGTGGCTGGGCTAACAAGTTAGATATGTCGTTGCAAGATGCACCGCTCATATCACTAGGCGGAGCTATTGTCAATGAAGCAATCGTTCATGGTGTGAAATACTAAGTCCTGCAACATGTTAGACTATGTCAGCACAGGATTAGCTTGTAGCAATGTAGCAACATGAAAAGTCACCACACTATCGCCCATGGCCTCTGAGGAACACCGGAGAGTCCGGGAGTCGGATATCAGTGTGCTCCATTTGCAAATATGACATTTCATGCAAAATATTATTGAGCTACCTCGGATCCCATGAAACGGGCCAATCGCGAGCTAGCCTCGTCCTACCGCAGTATACATGATCGAATGGCTTTGGATATCGATAAGATAGATCTGCACAGCGTGGTGCATATAGTATGCAGCGGTATCTCCATTAGCCCCTAAAGTTTAGTTAACTGCGTCGTGGAGTCACTGCACCTTCCAAGGGAGAAGCACGCTAGAGCCAATCTGATCCCCAATGGCGCTCCATCCGGCGGTTTTCATGAAAGCCGGTGAGGGTGGCAAAGGTGATAAATGGCTACTCCGGCGGTCATACTTACAGCATAATCCAGTCGTGACCACATGCTGCTTATATGCATGAATTTTTGTCTCGAGAATTGTATGGACAGATACCGCACAACCGATGATATCTTGTGCACTCTGCTTACGCTCTGTCCCGACCACTTCTTAATAGATTTTGCCAGGGTACAACTGTCCGATATTGTGGGAAGGAAGACCAGGAGATAAGCTCCAACCTGTTCTGATTGGTCGTGAATTCTCCGTAAATCGTTAATCAGAGCGATGATCCGTTGGAGTTGGAGGCTAGTCTAGTGACTGCCGATCTGTGCAAGACCACGTGTCTCACATCTCTGTGTCCGCTTGTTAGTCTAACCTGTCCTGTCAAGCTTACTAGAACTTACTGGTACATATGGCTCGATTGTGTCCTCAGAGTCTTATCTATGGCCAAGTGATGATCGTGAGTCGACGGAAGTCATCGTCAATTCAGTGCCTGTGATAATAAGAATCAGAGGCTGAATGAGGGAATTTTTTGGGGGTCGTCCTGCTAAAAGCTTCGTCACGCCTTGTCACACCTCGACACAGCTTTCACTCTCCGCAACAGGTTGTTGCTGCATGAATCACTTGAATTACATATTACACATTCAGCTCTGCTCAGAGGCCTGTCCGGTGTCACGCATTCGTCGTCGATCCTAAACGCAAAAGAGTAACCTTTATCCACTTTTTTAGGGACCATGCTCCAAACTTGTACCTGTCGCTGATCTATGAATTGAGACCCCGACAGATCAGACCACAGTTCGAGCCAGGCAGGCCGGTCTGAATTTGGTTGGTCCGAACCAATTTCCAGTTCGCATCAAAACTTGTGGTGAAGCAGTGCTGAAATTTGAAGTTTGAAACGTAACCTAACGCCAAGTACTCTAGTTAAAACTGTAACCTAGAGCTGTGAGCGCTAGCTCTAGCTTGCCATCAACCTTAGATCATCGGATGCGATGTCGTCGTTGCGATGACCTCTCAACTCCAGCGGTTCACGAGTCGCACAATCTCCTGCCTTATCAATCTCTCCGTGTCAAGGCGTATTAATTATTGCCTCCAGTGAGTTTGACTGCACTGGTTTAATAATTTCTTGTTTAACATCCACGTCTAGTCGTCAAATCACCATGCAAGCTCTCAAGTTCGAGAAGACTGGGTCCTTCGATGAGTTGTCTCTGGTTAACATCGACAAACCCACAGTACATCCCGGCGAAGCTCTCGTACGCGTCAGAGCTGCCGGTGTCAACGGGGTGAGCCTACAACTTGAGTCATATCATACTGCAATAGCATTTCTGACCCATCATCAGTCCGATGCTGCAGCCGTCTTAGGCATGCTTCCATTTGTGACCACCCCGCGCATTCCTGGCAGAGATTTCTCCGGGGAAGTCGTTGAAGCGCTGGACGCGTCTGGGGCCTCGAGTCAAGAGTGGATTGGAGCAGAGGTGTGGGGAACAGGAAGCCAGAGGGGCTTCACTTCGGATGGAACATTTTCTCAGTGCGTATTTTACACGGATTTGTCTCCTGTTTTTCAGACGGACGGCTCTCCAGATACGTTACTGTCCCTATCGCTGTATTGAGCCGGAAGCCAGCATCTCTCGACCACTCCAGGGCTGGTAGCATGACCCTGCCGTGGTTATGTGCCTGGATTACAGTTGACACTCTTGCGAATGTCAAGGAGGGAGACAATGTTATTATCATTGGTACATACATCACTCGACGTACTCCATCTATCATCTCTAACTTCAATCCCCCAGGTGCTCGAGGCGGCATTGGCTCCGCAGCAGCCCAGCTCTGTAAGGAGCGCGGGGCACGCATATTCGGCACGTACAGCTCGCTCGCCAAAGTGACACCCCCGTCATACGTCACGCCCATCGAACTAGGCTCTAAAAGCGCCATCCGCGAGGCCATAGCCAAGGCAGGACTGCAGAACAAAATTGATGTTTTGCTAGACTGTGCCGGCTACGACCAGCCATTCAATGACGCAGTTTTCACTATGACACCAGATGGTACCGGTCGTGTCGTGGTCATGGCTGTCCATGCAAAGGACGGACTGTTCCCCGTCAACCTGCGGACATTTTATACAAAGGCCCTTACGTTAAAGGGCATGATGTCGAGCATTCTGGGCCCGTTGGAGGTCAAGGAGGTACTGGATGACCTTGCGAAGAAAATTGATAGTGGGCTGCTAGAGGGGCCGAAGGAAGTCAACGAAGTCGATATAAGGAACATGGACGCTGTGAAGGGTGCTCTGCAGGAGATTTTAACTCGAGCTGCTCATGTTCGTTCGGTGATCGTTCCCTGAATATTCTCGTCATGCGTATTACTAGCATCTGTGAACTTCATTATATTTGTGCTGTCTCCAGGATAATGTGGATATTTATGTAAAAGATCGAGTATATTCACCGTGTTCACGATTCGAACCCCATCACGATGTAAACCGTAAGATTTTAACAAGATGATCCAGGCGACAATCTGAGCAAGCCGCGTCTAAATGGAAGTCTCGGCCGGCGGGAACGGCGGACTGGTTGGGGTACTATCCCTTCCACTGCAATCGGCACCCCACAGAAGTCGGCAGTCACGCAAATGTCGCTATAAGTCACGACATGTCACATAGGCCGATTTCAAAGACCGGCAGTCAAGCAAGAATTCGGCGTGAATATTCGAATATTTGAACGAGTATTAACTAGTAGATATATCTAAGTATGAGGGCAACTGTAGTTATAAAATTGAGTGGATGTGTAGGAAGACCATGTACATTAATATTGTATGGATGCTGCACCAGTCAGCAACAGTTTCCTCCTATGCAGCAGATAATAATTGCTGACTCTCGTGGGCATGCCGACGAGGCTCCTGCACTCCCAAACGTCGATTACTCAGTGTCTGGCATGATACTAGTGTCTGACAAAGCTCGCAGCTTTCCTCGTCTACCGCTGCTAGATCTGCGAATGCACTGCACCCAACACCAGTCGGCACTTCCAAAGTTGGTGTATGCAGTTTGAAACTCCGTCACGGCACATATCAGCAGGTGACATTTCTGCGTGACTTCGGCACATTCAACTATCTCATTCAATTCTTCTTCAATCATGGTCGTTCGACCTCGTAATTAGTTGTATTAGCAAGAGAATAATAAATATGTTGAGAATTTTGTGTTGAAGTAGCTAGAAATACGAGTTTTGTGAAAGTGCCGACTTCTGTGGGGTGCCGATTGCAGTGGAAGGGATAGTATGCCTCACAACAGGGCATTCGCGAACTCTGAGGTGCAGCGGGGCATGGGGCCTTTAGACTAGATAGAGTTATCCTACGTAGAGCAACATACCCTCAATAGACAAGAATGGAAACCAAAAAACAAACAAAAACGGAAGTCTACAGAGGGGTAACGACCCATCCACGGATTTCAAGGTTTCCAGCGAGAAGGTGCAAGCTCAGTGAAGTCATAACGCACGAAGATTCACAGAAATACATCTGTAGAACTTTGTTGGAAGTTACCTATCCTGTTGGTCATGGCGCGCGCGACACCTGAGCCCGAGATCTGTGCCAGAAGTTCAAATCAGCGGATTGGATTGTGTTACAGAGGGCTACAGATGGCTCTGCAGTGAATTACGTTTTTCTGATGCTTTAGAGCATTTGTCGACGCGATCAGACCAGTCAGGACGCCAATTGCCATCAAGCTATTATCCGTCGAAATTCCAAAGAAGTCACATAAATAATAGGCGCGAATGGGGTGTAGTAAGTATGGTAAATGATATGCAGTACATGTTTCCAATTAATACGATACACATAACATATCAATGTATAACACGGTAGATTAAAATGGATGCGAACGGTGAATAGAATACTAGAGTCCGCATCCTACAAGCACTGTATACACGTAACCTAGAGCGGAACAAGTGGCTTGGCGTCGATAGAAGTTTGGATATAATTTCTAGCAGAAGAATTCCTCTAGTGTGCGGCCAAATATCGTAAGGCCATCACGAATCGTTACATCTGTACCAACAAATGTTGCTCTGAAGAAGTTCACTCGCTGCATGTTTTCATGAGTGTGCGTTCGACGCGCATAACGCAAGAACTTACATCATTAATGTGGCTTCCCGTTGTCCCCGTGCGATCAACAATGGCAAATGTCGATGCTGGCATCATGACTAAACCGCTATTTAGCAGCTTCCGGAACAGCTCGTCCATGAGGTCCGCGGTGTTCGTCGTCGGACCGCCTGGCACCGTGGGGGTCTGAGATGTTGAGAACCGTACGTGATGCTCAAGGTTGATTTTGATCCAGACAAACATGCCAGATTGTGGTACCTCTGCAGTAGCGAAGCCAGAAATGGCAACCTTCTGCCGGAAGACATCCATGAAGAGATCCCTCCGACGTTGGTACTCGTTGCACAGCGATAAAATCCACTTCATGAAGCCATCGACGCCCCAGCCACCACTGCCAAGCAACTCGGCAACGAAAGCTTGGCCCATGCCATGTGGATGTTGCGAAGACGAGTCCGTCAGCATGTCAAGCTTCTCTGCGAAGAAGCTGTTGCTCGTGACCCAGCCGAGTCGCATTCCAGGGGCAACGATTTTGCTGAAACTGTACTCAAATTAGAGCCGTGGCTCTTGTAAAAAGGAAATAGTCTTACCTATCTAGGCGCATTACGCGTCCGTCGTAATCCATAGATAGAAAAGACCGAGGAAGAACTCCCGCCAAGGCACGCGTGTACCCGTACTGTTGTATCGTACTCTGGTTCACGCCAAGATCGTACTGGAGGAAAAAGTACGGATCATCCTCAAGGATGATGATATCCCAATCGTGTGCGATTTGATAAATATGCTGCCTTCTTTCCAACGAAAGAGTGCTTCCTGTTGGGTTCTGCGAGCACCTGGATAAGAATCGTGAGCTGTATGGGACTGATTGAGAGACGGGGGTAACATACGGGATTGTATAAAGCACATGGGGTCGTTTACCTTGCGTTGCTTCGTCCCAGTTGGATAAAATTCGTTCCAAATCTGAAGGAACAAGTCCATTGTTATCCATCCGGATTGGGACCCATTCAATGCCTAGGGGCAGAGCAGCGTTGGTCATAGCAGAAAAGGTAAATTCTTCGCAAAGGAACGAGTCGCCCGGATCACCGAGAAGACGGAAACATTTTGTCAGGGCATCTGCATTGCCAAGGCTGAGCGACACGGTGTGATTTGGGGGAGAGTGGACCCTGTCATTGAGGTCTGCGAGAGCATCGCGAACCTCCTTGAGACCAGCACCAGCACCATACGCGAATGCAGTACGGAGGCTCAGAGCGCAAGGGTCGTCCTTATATGAAGCAATAATATTTTGCTCGCCAGTGCCAGACCTCCATGATTGCACAGGGTCATGCTCGTCAATGGAAGGAACGATAAAATTCATCTCGCATATGGGATACAACGTATGGTGCGGGTCACCTGCATCGAATTAGCCAGTGTATTCAATCTCAATGATACACACAAACCATTTCCCATATTGATGGTACCAGGTTTGACCTGAGCAGCTTTCCAGATGGACTTAATTGGGTTAGGAAGCCTGGCACGGGCTTCCGACGATAGGTGGCGATAATAGTCGACATGGCCACGCTTGAGACCGACGTCGACTGCTGAGGTGGTAGAGGTAGTTGGAGATAAGAAGACCATTATGTGCACAAGGCGAGAGATTGAAATTCGAGGGCGGATATACTGCTTTTCCACCTCGTCTCTCATCTGCTTTTGAAGGATCCACGCGTGACGCGCTGGCACCACTGCTTCTCGATCAGGACGAATTCAAGATTACAATGACGGTCGTCAAGTCAAGGCAATTGCAGCGCCCCTGACTTTGGCTAGTCCTCAGCCTCCCTGAGTCAAGTCACATCGTTGGGAATCTAAATGAACGCAGAGCGGGTGGAGATCGGCCTTTATCGAGGAGTATAGCATTTGTAGAAACTATGCGACCGGCGGAAACACTACATAGTTCAGGTTAGCCAATAATTAGCCTCATCAATTTACACTTGGTCTGTAATTGGTGGCTCACTGTCAGTAGTGTTAGGGAACGCAGTGCGCACTATAGTAGCTATGGAGTGCAAACCGAGGCGAGTTTGTGCTTACATGCATATGAACCAGTCCATATTTCAATTTAAACTCCGCAAACATGGCGACGAGATTGGAGTCCGATATGTACTGCCATCATGCCATCGATCGATAAAACAACTAGCTAAATACATCATGGATGATCCACTTACGCCATGGAATCGATGATGGATCGATGGATTACCACGTCAACGCTATGCTTCATCGATCCCATCCCGTGCTCTCGATTCCTCCAAATGTACTAACGGCCTGGGGGGGGTTCCTACAACTCCGTAGTCCTCCCGAGAGTAGACGGTCTACGCAGGAAGCGGAACTGCGCTCGTCCGGATGCTTCCGGTAGTCCTAGTAATACGTCGAGACTGACAACCCCGCGGACCTGCGACTAGTTTCGGGGAAGTTGTAACGACAGTCGGGAAGGCTAGGAAACATATCTAAAAGATAGGAAGGAGCAGTGCAATATAGCTAAGGAATGGATAAGATGCTGTCACTAGGGATATAATGACGGAATGTAATGTCAACACTGGCAGGAGGTCGATGATTCAAAGGAATGTGTCAGAATGATCAGAGTGCGTAACCGTTTCAAAATTTTACATTACTTGTGTCCAAAATTTTCCCTTGTAAAGATCTGCATGCCAAGAGTACCGCAACAAGCACTGATCAGGTCGTTGTTTGGTGTCCGACGTCGTACCTCACGCGCACGTATCGTAATTCACATTTACTAGTACTCCGGCCCATCATCCAAACCAATTGGGCGTCAGAGCATGCAAGGGCAACATCAGCCGGCGGACTTAATCTGAATGTAACTGACACTTAGAAGGTCGACGGCACTTTGGGACCACCGGTTAACGTTTGTCCACACCGAAGACAATTTCCGAAAATCAAATATTTGCAAATTCGTTGCCAACTTGCACATAGGCGGACACCCTCATTTTGGCCCCCGGTGTAGACTCGGCCCTTTCATGTGTGCTCTTGAGTTGTTCGCTGGCTTGGCGTTAAAACTATTTCGCGACATTCATTTGACCATCTCCCGCTATCACATGCATCCCAACTCGTGTACCTTTGCCCATTAATTCAACCGGAACATCGGAAATAAATAACACCTCACCGTTTAGCAATGGCTTGCGGCGCAAGTCATTTATCTATAGCAACATGGTCTTTCAACGGTACAGCTGGCGTGCAAGGTACGCATAGTTCGCTTCGCAATATTGACGAGTACACATCAGCTAGCTAACTCTGCATATCTGATAATCATCTGTCGCATATTCAGCAAATGGGTTCTGTAACTGTCGACGCATGTTTTGGGACCATGCTTCGTGTACAGCAATATATAAATGCCATATCGCCTGCTGGAGCCTTGGATGATGTAGGAATGATTTGTGTTCTTCCACAGGCTGTCCTGTCCCTGTATGGTTATATCTTTGCATCAAGCTCAATTGAGTATGAGTCACAGACATGCCATGAGAAGGATATCCAGTGACATCAGGAAAACTACTGGTTGCTTATCTCACTTTTTGTCCCTTAATTTTTTGTAAATGAAAATTGGAACATTGCTTTTTGACTTAATAGACTTTCTTACAAGTCCAGACCACTTTAGTCACCCTTCTCAAGGTACCTCTTTTTTTTTTTTTTTTTTGTATCCAATTTTTTGTCCATTGAGAGTGAGACTCTATGTAGGACAGTACTATCTAGTCTCGGGACCCTGCATCCCAACCCAACTCCAAATTCCCAAATGCAATGATGTAGGGCATGCCCCCATCATTCTGCCGTTCCCACTGGCCATTTTAGGTGGGCAATTTGTCAAAGAAGGGGTGACTATAAGTAAACTAGCATGTAAGGAAATAGCTGAAGTGTTGAATAACATGTGCTTGGCCGCTTGCATGGACCTAACAGAAATCAAGTAGGGGGTGCAATAGGTGAAGGTAAGAGTATCCAATTGAGACATGAAGTGGTGTGGATAACACAACTTGGCTAGATAGTTGTTAGAATACCTAGCCAATATACATATATCTACTAATCCTGCCTAGCTGCTACACTTGCAAGCAAGAATGTTTGACCTGAGGGATCTGCTGTCTAGTCAAGTTCAATAATCAGTACTACACAAGGGTCAAAAGTCCGAAGGTCAGAGATCAAGTCTGAAGGTATGGGACAAAGTCCAATGCGTGGGAAATTGGGTCCACAGGTGCAGAGATGCAGAGATGGCAGGAGAGTAAGGGAAGGGAAGGAAAGTGTCAGGACTAGCTTGGAGATGTTAGGGAGGGTCAAGTGAATGAGTGACACTCGTGTCGGGTCAAGGAGAGTGGGTAAACAGGTATATTGGCAAGGGTAACTCTAAAGACAGGTATGGGGTGACCAGTATTGGGGATTTCTCCCTCCTACTAAGTGGTGCTTGTAATTCTGGTTGCCCAACCATATATAACTGTTAAGGTCGTACTCAAAGGATAACTGGATCCAAAGGGCTTCAGCCTCAGCTCGTGCACTGTGCCCCTTACCTGAGTATTGCCCCTTATTTCAGGAAGGCAAGGCTAACATGTCCGGAAGGTCGGACGAGTAGCATAACAGATCTGGATGACTTCCAGATGAGGGATAAGTATCATAGGGCTAATCTGGACAAGTCCAGACTAGAAACTAATGGTAATGGACTGTTGGGGACAGAGGTGGATATGGATAGACTATAGGAATCAATCCTAAGTCTTGGAGGGTGACAAGAGTAGAGGTACTCAAGTCCAGAGGACAGGAATGAGCAGAACTAAGATGATATTCGAACTGAGGTACTACAGAAAGTTACAGGAGGTTATATACTATAGGTATCTAATGGAATGATCAATCAGCAGAGTCCAAGGCTATGTATGAAGCATGTGGATAGTCTATTGGTAAGTACAAATGGATCACAAATCATGAAATGGAAATGAAACATAGGTAGCAGATAAGGGAGCAGGATGGATATACAGATAACTGAAATACCGGAGTTAGGGGGTTACTGAAAGGAGACGAGTGCTGGTTGTGGATTTGGATGAGTTGTGGACTGGACTGGACAAGTGGAACAGATTGGATGATGAGATGTTGGAGGGAGATAAGATGTGGATCTGAGATGAGATAAGGGTTGGATCTGAGATCTGGATATGCGGATATGACAGTATCCCCCCTTTAGGGCTGATCCCTAGAGGCACAAGATCTGATGATCTGGACCAGATGATATGAGGGCGAGAATTGATGGAGAAGCTGATGGATGGAGTTTGTGAGTTCTGGTTTCCACAGATATATGGATGTCAAAGTGTCCTAGGTCTTCCTTCCTTTCCTCACTTTACCCACTCATACTAGCTTTGAATATCATGTCTGGCAACAAATCCAGTGGTCAGAAATCTGCTAGGGAGACCCTTGCAGAACTTCAGTGCCAGATGGCACTTGTGGAGGCTGCAGCTCAGAGAGAGGAAGAGGAAGAGGAGTGGAAATGTCAGGAAGCGGAACAGAAATGTGAGGAGGAGAGGAAGCAGATTGAGCAGTCCAAGCTCCGGGTAGCGCAGGAAGAGGAGAGGCGGAGGGCTGAGGTGGCCAGGAGGGTGAGTGATGCTAACTCTATCAGATCCAGAACTGAGGGGTATGCTAGTCCCAGTCTGCTTCTATGTCCAGAGCTCAGGATGCTCCCTGCACTCGTTGCATCAGTAAGAAGAAGACGTGCTCCTGGGAGGATGCCAAGTCTAATGCACTGGTGAGATATTCCTTGCCGTGGACATCCAGAACTGGGTGTACTGATATCCAGATAGATCAAGTCTTGCGATGTCTGCAGGATTGATAGGGTCTCCTGTCCTGGAAGTGCGGACAAGCCCAGGGAACCAAGGCGGAAGAGGCAGCGTGCTGTGGTGACTCCATCTCCGAAATCCAAGGGTAAGAGACGTCAGAGGAGCCCTACCCCTGAGGAACTGGAAGTGGAGGAAGCTTCCAATCCGTGGACCGGAATAGAGACAGATGAGGGGAGTGTGGAGTATGGTGACCAGGCCTGGGTTGCTGCTGCCAACAGCATAGTAACAGAACTGGCCTGGACCAATGGGCTTCTCCAGGAGAGTATTGGAGCTGCGGAAGGGAGTAGGTTGGTGATGGAGCAGATGAACACTAACATGGAGGACTTCATCCAGCAGCAGAGGGACTTCCAGTCCATCCTCCTGGAGGGGATCCAGAACGGATTCTGGATTGTGGATGCCTCCACTCCGGATGATGCTGACAAGGATGTTGAGGAGGAGGCTGGAGGATCCAGAGGGGACATGGAGACTGATGGGTGAGGAGCTCCAGATTTCCACTTCTGCCCCTAATGTACTTGTATCTGATTTTTGTACTCATTGTAATGCAATTGGACCGGGTTTGTCTGGATACGAAGAGTGAAATACCAAAACTAGATCCGATGTGTTTCCAAGCTCCGTGGCTAGTAACCAGGACGTCTCTTTGTCCGTCCCTTCATATCTGGACCACCAGATGAGGTAGAGAAGCTGACATTGTCATCTCCGGTGGTCCAACTTAGAGTCTAGGATTTCGGATATCTCATATTCTGGTTCTCTGTCGACTTCTATTGGAGGTGGGGG